TTGCCTGTGCACGCTAAGTGACTTTCATTACAAGCATTTAGCTTTCCGAAATCTATGACAACAATTGTTTGGCATTGACAGCCGCGAATTTCGCTCCAATAAGCTGCCTCAACTTGTTCGATTATGTTATCAACTTAATTTCATATTTCTTTTCACATTTTCACTTTGTGGTCCTTCTCTCTTCTTTTTCCATTATTTTCACGTGTAGGTCATTTCATTGTTATCCACATTTGATATCATCATTCATCACATACTGCCATTACACTCTTGTCTGTACACTACAACTGTCAAGAATTAACGCGATTGGCAAAGCCTAGTAACAGCGGGTCAATAGAAAGCAGGGTCATTGCCATAATGCGGTTTGCGTGCCAATTTTCGTACGTGCATTAATCAAGCCAAATAGTTTGGCCGAATATTCGGCTATTCGGCCATGCTCCTGGCCGAATATTCTGTATTCGTTGCAACACTAATATATATATATATTAATGTTTAATTTGGTTGTAATCTAATGCTCATTTTTATGTACAGTACTTCAAATTATTTCATATGTTGTTTTGTGCTATGTCATATGTATGTCTCATTTTGGTGTATGCCTTTTATATATTAACAATCCTTTTAGATTTGTTATGTATTTTATTTCTAATATGGTATCATATACTTTCTTTTATATATGTGGTATGATCCAAAAGTTCGGGGACTACAGTAATGTATGACAACAAAAGCATATATTTGAAGTTACAGCGTATGAAATTGATTCTATCAAACCTTTCCTACATGTTCAGGTTGATTTTGCCCATGTTACGTGATTAAACCGCAAGCGCTGTTGTTTTCTTTTGGAGATAGTTACCTTTGTTTTGCGACGTAATAAAAATGGAGTTTCAAGAACAGCACTGCAATATTAAATTTTGTCAGCGTTTAGGTAAAACACCTATGGAGACTTTAAAATTGCTAAGAAAGGTGTACGGTGATTTTACCATGGCGAAATCAAAGGTGTACAAATGGCATCAGCGTTTTAAAGAGAGCCAAGAATCCGTTGCAGATGATGAACACTCTGGCTGACCTTCAACTTCACGGAACGAGGAAAATGTTGAGTTGGTCTCTCAATATGTTCACAAAGATTGTCGCCAAACCCTTGAAAAAATTGCTGCGGCTACTCAGTTATCAAAGACTAGTTGTCAGCGTATTTTAACGGACCATCTTAACATGCACCAAGCAAAGGAAAAGTCCTGATGGAGGTGTTTTTTGATTCTCAAGGAATTGTTCATTCAGAATTTATTCCCGAAGGCAGAACAGTAAACGAGGAGCATTATCTAGACATTTTATGTCGTTTGAGGGAATTCATTCATCATAAATGGCCACAGATCTGGCAAAGTGGAAACTGGTACCTTCTGCATGACAACTCAAATTAATGTGCTTCCACACCCTGCCTAGTCACCGGACTTAGCCCCGTGTGATTTTTATTTGTTTCCATCAATGAAAAAGCATTTGCAGGGACGCTTTGTGTCATCAGATGAGGTGAGAGCACCATCGCAGGAGGCCTTACGGAGGGTTTCAAAAAATGGCTTCCAGCATTGCTTCCAGAAGTTATAGGAGCGCTAACAAAAGTGTATCATTGTCCAAGGTGATTACTTTAAAGGTGGTTATGCATCGGCAATATAAACTTTTTAAGATAAGGAATTTTAAGCCAAGTCCCCGAACTTTTGGATCGTGCTACGTATACTATACTATTTTGGTAATGTAAACAATTCTTATTTTGTGTAAATTGCACTCTGTAAATATATGCCATGTAACATATAATCACTTCATCTTTTGTACTTTAACCTCTGCGATGCTTTGCAGTGCAGTGGTACACTTAGTTGCAAATAGTGTTATGAAAAGTAAGTCCATGATGCACTGTTTATGCACTTGCATAGAGACCCTTGGGGGACATTTTGAACATCTGCTATGACTGGTCAGACAGTTTGCCATACTGTTCTGTAATTTTATGCAATGTAATAAATCCTTTATTGTGGTAACTATGTATTTCTGGCCATATGTTTATAGGAGAATTTTTGTTTCTTGTCTTGGCAGAAATCACCACCCAAAGTTTCTCTCTCTATTTTGAAAAATAACACTCATTATAAAGAAAGATACTAATTGCATTTCAAGTATAATTTGCTTTAAAAATCATACTTTCATAAGTAAATATTTAAATACTTTATTAATAATGGACATCAAATGGATATACAATAGAGCATTGATTATCTGAATATCGATAAACCTAAACATCAATTAACTGAAAGCTTTCCAATCAGCAAATTTAAAGTTCCGCTAGTGCTGTGGCACTGCAATCTTTGACTATGTCTTGGGCTAGTCCAATATTATTTTTGTTGGTGTGCGTGTTTTAGCTGGCACGACCATGAGAGGGTACTTGAGGACGTGCCAGGATTTGAATGAATTTCAACATGGGATAGGTTAATATATTTTTTCAGCAAGTGCTCTCATATTTATTGTATTCCAAGTATTTTAACTCTAAGCCTCATCTTCATGGAAAACTTAAATAGGAAGACATTGCTTTTTAGAAGAAATATGGAAGGAAGAAAATATTTTGACAGCTGAAAGATTATGGATTTGGAAAAGGAATCTGGAATTTAAAGTAGTTAATCTCAAAGATGAAGAAGTGTTATTGGTAGCATAGAAATGGACAATGAAACAAGAACAAAGAAATAGGAAAAAATAGAGTATTATTATTTAAAAAAAAGGTAAGAGAGGTGTGAAAATTGAAAGAGGAATGAAGCAACAATAATTCCTTCAAAACTATATTTTTATACAAAAGAAAATAGTCCAGAAGATGGTGCTTGACTCCATATCAGAGTTTGCTTTAATTTTTTTTTCCTATGATGGTGACCCTAAGAAGCTCCAAAATACTTGGGACTAGATGTTAAGAGTGATTTCTTATTGGTTTCTCCAATAAAGTATTTTTTAAAGACTTAAACTGTAGTACATTTTAAAGATAAAAATAATAGTAAATCCTANCGAATTATACACGCTCATTTATGGGGATGAGTTCCCTCATAACAAAACTTCCACGCGCTAGATATACCGATTGCATCCCTGGAGTTGATGCATGTGCCATATAATCCTGCCTTGTATATTTCTAAAGTTTCCATTGTTCTCGGTTGATCAGTGCGATGTGAGAGCCTGATCAAGTGGGCATTTTGTATGTCGGCTGAGATTGTAAATCTCTTTCATATTACAACTGCACTGTAAATTTGGCACTTGTGATGTTTACCTCTGTCACTTACATGTATGGAAGGTTACTTAATCTAAAGAATATGGTGTAGAAATTATCATCATCCTAAATTTTAGTTTGAAAAATAGTTTGCAAATGTCTGTTTGCTTTTGATAGTGGTATTTTTCTTTTATAAATGGGCAATCTGAATTTTTTAAATTTTATAATGTAATGAAATTGAAATTTAAAAGATAAATGTATCTTCCTAAATTTATTATGATTAATTTGTATTGATAATTGGTATTACCTTATCTTTATGTATCTATATCAACAATAGTCTAAACTGAAATTTCTCCAATATAAGACAACACAAGATACACCTTACACACACAGATAAATCTGCAATCAGACACAGGTACAGTAGAAAACTTACTTGTAGCCTAGCATGCATTATTTTTTCTGCTTAAACACTATGTAGTGTTATAAATTCAAACATAAAGATGTAAGAATGGCAAGTGTTTGAATTTATTACACTACATAGTGTTTAAGCAAGAAAGAAGAATTATGACATGGTTTCAGATTATCAAAGAAATATTAGACTTTATGCTAATATTTGTTATTTTAAACACATTTAAAAGTTTATTCATTAAATAATTTTATAAACCATTTAACAAATGGTATTTAGGGCTCTTAATTTATTTAACACTTTGTCATTAGAATTGTTTAACACAGAAATTATTTTTGAATTTATTTTTATATTGGTGCAATTCAAGGATTAGTAAACTCATACATTAAATGCAAGTTGAATTTTTACTTATTGTATTGGTTCATATGGACATTTATTTAGCATTCTAGGTACATAAACCTTTTATGCAAGAAGACAAATAAAAAAGAGTTGCAATAAAATAATAAAGAATTCATTATAAAATCATAATAATATAAACACAAATGCAATATATCATTATATGATTAAGCAATCAAAATATAAGTACAAATTATTGCACATTAACTTAGAAAGAAGTATCTGAAATATATAAATAATAAAAACTAAATACTGTAATTACAAAATCTATCTAGAAGTAGAATAAAAAAGACTGATGTTAATAACTTTTCACAGATTGTTGGATAGTTTCCTTAGTACATACAGATATAAATTACCCAATTAGGGAACATAAAACTCAGATTAAACTGAGGAAAAAAATCATGCAATGAAGTTAATATTTTTACATTAATAATAATTANTAGTGTTTCACTGAAATTTTTTTTGCCTGAAGACAACAAATATGCTTTGTTAAAAGTGCTAGCTTATGTGAAGTTAATAAAACACAGTTTTTAAGTTTAATGCTATAAGATAGTTTATTTATTTATTTCTATTGATATTTTGTAAGAGAAAATGAAAAATATTGTTGAAATTTCTGGTAATGCATATAGTTGCACTTAATATCTTTTTATATTTTTGAAAATTACATAAAATATTTCTTCATGGATATTCACTTATGTTTATTTGCAGGGATTTGTTTTAGGAGACATGATTGCCCTTCTTGAAAAAACATTAATGATTGCATATGATAGAATAAAAAATATGGTGTAGGTATTTATTTTTAAATATAATATTTTATGTAATAGAATAATTATTTAATGAAATAACTATTACAGTTATTAAGTTCAAATTAGGTGTTGTACGAGGGCTGTTCGAAAAGTTTGCGGCCTTGCCTATATGCGGCACTTTTTTTATTCTGAATAATTTATATTCTTATATATGTCATTGATATTTTCATAAGTTTTTCAAATTAACTAAATGTTTTTGCTCTCATTTGCTTGCTTTTTTTTAATGCCAAATGAAAATAATTAACAAATACTTTTAATTAATGATTCTTAACCATCATTTTTATTTCAGTTTCCTTCAGAAATAGAGAGAAGGCTTTTGATGTCTGCATTATTCAATACTGTACCTCTTTCAAAGGATATATCTTTTTCATATATCAGTCAACGTACTGCAGTATGTATTTAGATTAAATAGAATTTTATTTTTTACATGCAATATTAGTTCTTTGGAATATTACCATCATGTTTTTAAGGAAAGTTTAAATTTCAAGACAGGAAATTGTATCTTGTCTTGAAAATCTTGGAAAATCTTTAAAAAGTTATGAAAGTATCGGGCAAAAATCTTGGAATTGGTGAAAAAGGTAAAAAAAACAAAATTAAAAATTAGAATTTTTAATTTAAATAAGGATGTTATCAATTTTCTCATATAGTTTGATCTATTAGACAATTATGTTGAACAAAGTAAAATTTGTGAAGAAGTTAAAACATTTAAATTAACTGCAGATGTAGAAATGTTATCATTTGGCAAAAACACAATTGATATATTTCTAAGTAGTTTAAGTTTAGATTTGCTTAGAACATTTCATTAGATTAATTTTGCTTTAAAAAAAGATGGTATTTTGATTGCATCTATGTTCATAGGCAACACATTATTTGAACTCTTATGTTCATTGCAACAAGCAGAAACTGAAATTGAAGGTGGATTTGCATCATATTTAACCTTTTACAGATGTAAAAGGTTAAATATGATGTGAAAATCCACCTTCCATTCCACATTTTAAAGAGTAGGATTTACCATGTTGACATAAATGATTATAGTATTTGATATACTTTTAGATATTGAATGAAATACTCAATTTCATTTAACTCAACTAGTTCAAAGAGAATAACAAGATATCAAGAGCATAGATTTTTCATTCAAAATATCCCATTACAATTTCTGTCAGAAATAAAAATAATAAATCATCAAACGATCGCCTAAATATTGGGCTATAATAAGGCTAATTAAATGATTGGTATAAAGTAATTTGACACTAGAGGTAGACGTTAGGCGCCATCTCTTAAGTAAATTAATAATTACAATTAAATAAACAAATTATTAAATAAATTTAGAACCTTCTGGAATAAAAGAACTGGCCCAGGATAGGGCTCGAATCCGCAACCTCCACTTGCCATGCAGTGTGCTTACCAGTTGTGCCACCCGGACCCCGAGCGAGTCTTTGCTTCCAGAAGTATATTACATTAGATATAACCTTACTTGGTTAAATACAACACTAACTGGGGACGACTCCTTCGCCCACAGCCTAAGACCACTTCTACAACGGCACTCAGCCAGCTATTGTATTACCTGGCGAGGTATATATATATATATATAAATAATAACATCGCAAGGCCCAAGTAGTATACAATAAATCACCAAACGATTGCCTAAATATCGGGCTATAATAAGGCTAATTAAATGATTGGTATAAAGTAATTTGACACTAGAGGTAGACGTTATATTTAATTTGACACTAGAGGTAGACGTTATATTTAATTTGACACTAGAGGTAGACGTTATATTTAATTTGACACTAGAGGTAGAGGTTATATCTAATGTAATATACTTCTGGAAGTGAAGACTCGCTCGGGGTCTGGGTGGCGTAACTGGCAACTGCACCGCATGGCAAGCAGAGGTTGCGGGTTTGAGCCCCGTCCCGGGGCCAGTTGTTTTATTTCAGAAGGTTCTAAATTTATTTAATAATTTATTTAATTTAATTGTAATTATTAATTTACTTAAGAGATGGTGCCTAACGTCTATCTCTAGTGTCAAATTACTTTATACCAATCATTTAATTAGCCTTATTATAGCCCAATATTTAGGCAATTGTTTGGTGATTTATTGTATACTACTCGGGCTTTGTGATGTTATTATTTAAATAAAAATAATTATGAACTTATTGGTATTTGAAGATATATTTAATTATTAAATTAGGAAATATTATCATAAATTCTAAATCAGCTCTAGCAAGTTAAATCTAATAGATGATGATCTGTTGTCAATGATAATCTGTTATTGTAAAGATAATTGCTTAAAATACTAAAGAAAGGTTTATGGACTTGATTTCTCTGGTAAACTAAATTTCAAAAATCAAACATTTTAAATTGAAAATATACAGTATTTACAAAATTATTTAAACAAGATATGCTTTAAACACAAATATTAATATTTTAAGAATGAGTTACACCATGCATATTTAGTGGAAATAAATAAATAAATGACAAACTATCTTATGGCATTAAACTTAAAAAATTCAAATTTTTTGGAATTTCAAAAAATTTCATAGTGTTTCACTGAAATTTTTTTTGCCTGAAGACAACAAATATGCTTTGTTAAAAGTGCTAGCTTATGTGAAGTTAATAAAACACAGTTTTTAAGTTTAATGCTATAAGATAGTTTATTTATTTATTTCTATTGATATTTTGTAAGAGAAAATGAAAAATATTGTTGAAATTTCTGGTAATGCATATAGTTGCACTTAATATCTTTTTATATTTTTGAAAATTACATAAAATATTTCTTCATGGATATTCACTTATGTTTATTTGCAGGGATTTGTTTTAGGAGACATGATTGCCCTTCTTGAAAAAACATTAATGATTGCATATGATAGAATAAAAAATATGGTGTAGGTATTTATTTTTAAATATAATATTTTATGTAATAGAATAATTATTTAATGAAATAACTATTACAGTTATTAAGTTCAAATTAGGTGTTGTACGAGGGCTGTTCGAAAAGTTTGCGGCCTTGCCTATATGCGGCACTGCGATCAATCTAATTTTTGGCGGGAATAATTCAGCCATCCTTGCTAAAGATACGATACCAATTTCCACCTGATTTGTCATTTTTCCACCACAGCTTAGCAGATAGTCAATGTGCACATGCTTTGTCAAAAATGGAGAAGACGGAGACTCATGCAGTCATAAAATACCTGACGAAAATAGGGTTGACCGCATCTCAAATCAAAGCTGACATGAATGAAGTTTTGGGAGAGTCTGCTCCTTCGTAAACCACTGTGAAAAAATGGACAGCCCTTTTTAAATCTGACAGAGTGTGTGAAACATGACCCTCGCAGCAGACGGTCGTCAACTGTTGTCACTGAAAAAAATATCGACAAAGTTTACGATTTGGTGTTAGCAGATCGCCGTTTGAAAACGCGTGAGATAGCTGAGACAACAGGCATCTCTGTCGACCGAGTGCACCACATCCTAACCGAAAATTTGGGTATGACGAAGGTCTCAGCAAGTTGGATGCCGCATCTGCTGACCGCTGAGCAAAGACGTGTTCGCACTTTGATGTCAAAGAAGTGTTTAGACTTCTACAAGAAAAACCCACGGGATTTTTTGCGTTGGTTTGTGATTACTGACGAAACGTGGATCCATTACTACACTCCTGAAACAAAAGAACAGTCTAAGCAATGGAAACACCCCAGTTCGCCACCATCAAAGAAGGCAAAAACAGTTCCATCAGCGGGGAAAGTGATGGCCTCGGTTTTTTGGGGATGCTAAAGGAATCATCTTTATTGACTACCTAGAAAGAGGAAAGACCATCAATGCTGTCTATTAATGTATACTTTTGGAAAAACTGAAGAAAGAAATCGAAGAGGCCACACTTGAAGAAGAAGGTTCTGTTTCACCACGATAATGCCAGAATCACTGAACAAAAAATAAATGAACTTAGCTTCCAATTAGTTCCACATTCACTGTACTCACCTGATTTGGCCCCCAGTGATTTCCACCTTTTTCCAAATTTAAAATAATTCTTGGTTGGAAAGAGATTCCACTCAAATGACAAAGTCATCTCTGAAGTAAACGAGTATTTTGCACACCTTGACAAATCGACCTATTGTAATGGCATAAAAAAGCTAGAACATCGCTGGAATAAGTGCATTGCTAACAAAGGAGACTACATTGAAAAATAAAAAAGTTTTAACATTATTTTGTTTGTTGTTCTATTTGAGGCCGCAAACTTTCCGAACAGCCCTCGTATTTCCTCAATTAAATCCAGGGGAGTTTATTTTTTCAAATGTATGTATTCCCAAGGTTTTACTACTTTGCACCAGATGAACAGTGGGTTAAATTGAAAGAAATACCTTAATTATCTTAATTTACAGATTACAACTACAATATTTGAAATAATTACTGTTTTTGTGGTTAACCCAATTCAGCATTTTCCAATTTGATTGTTGTATTGTCATTTGTATTTATTTTGATGTTGTTGTAAGAATTAGAATCTTGACCACAATCTTCTGGTTAAAAAACTTATCATTGCAGCTGGATAGCTGAGGTAGTTTAAGATATCAGTCTATCATTCTCAGGAATTTTTTTGTCTTTCTTGGGACTGTTCCGGTTATGTCAGACTCCATTCCTCATTTCATGGTTCCCCCATTGTAGGCCTGGCCAAATCCACAATGGGCTTGAAAACAAGCCTTCTTATTGCTCATAGGGTGGAAAGAGTAAAACAAAACAAAAAAAAAAAAACTGTCTAAACTACATTATCCTAATGAGTGCAGTATTTCAACATGTTTTCCATGCTTTTCAACTTAGGGTTTATTTAAGGCAGATTTATTTTTAACAGCACCTTTATTCCCTGGGGTTTATTTGAGTTCCAGGGTTTAATCAAGGAATCAGTGTTTATTATTCTATTTATGTTAATGTAAAAGTCAGTCACAAAGCTATTTGTATTGTCAAATTTGTTACAGTACATAAATAAGCTTAATAGATTTTTGTTTTAGTTTATTATTATTAGTGATTTGAAATTCATATTAATTTGGATTTTAGGAATAAACGAGATAGGCAACATCAACACTTATATAAATTGAAAGAGCTAGATAAATGTTTATGATTATTTCACAATTTTCTAACAAACCAAATTGTAAAAAGTTAAAAAGATTTTTAAAATATCTAAAAAATAAAATATAAGATCTATTAATATTTTGAATTCAATGCTATATAAATATCAAAATTAAGATTAGTAATCATTCACAAAAATTCATATGATTATTGTTGAACATTAAATAACATTAATTTAGTATTAAGTATTAATTTAAATTTATATACATGTTTTTAACCAGTTATGCTTCTCAATTAGTATGTGCAGTATGAATGAAACTCCTTTAGGTAATCATAAATATCCTTTACTTATTAGAATTTTAGCTCCTATTATTAGAAATTTTATCAAATAACATATAACTAATAGTATTTTTAAAATTATTTTTCACTGCCAAAATTTAACTATGACAAAATCAAAGTACAACTTAATAGAACATTATAATTGCATTTCAATAATAATGCTATTTGAACTTGTACTTTATGATAAGTCCCATATAAATGCTATATTTTAAAATTTTTATGGAACTAAAGATAAAATATGCATTCTGGGATCACATGAGTTCATGTTGGATTTTGGTATTTACAGAACCTTGTAATTACAGAAATCAGTATTTACAGTTCAATAAAACACTTATTTAAATTTAATTATTTTAATTTTAATACATATAGACGACAAAGCCGGAATTATTCTAATGCTTAAATGATAATTCATCCTTATCATTATTTGAATATTATTAATTTCCTTCAAATATTTAATTTCTAAATCCAAGAATGATGGAACCAACAATTTTTTTCCTGTCTCTGGACATATGTAATTTCCATATTTATTAAAAATTTTGAAACGGAAAAAATTAATAGTTGATCATTCTCACAAAATTAAATTTCTCTTACGGTAATCATGAACAAAATAAATAGTCAATTTTACAAAATTAGTTGAGAATACAGTAGAGCGTTGATTATCCGAATGCCAATCAACTGAAACATTGGTTAACTGAAAACGTTCCAGTCAGACTGTGTAATGCTTAATCAAATGTTTTTGATACTAGATTAACTTCTAAAGTATAATTTGTTTTTATTTTTCAATATATGTATTTTGTTTGTGCAAAATAAAGAAATAATTTTAATGATATAATAGCCACAATTTTTATTATAAACATTTTTGTTAGGCTTAACATCGATGAAAATTCAATGCGAAATGACACGCAGCAGAGAAAAATTTAAACATGGGATATATTAATATAATATTATTGGGATATACTAATATACTATATTAATAATGTATTTTTTTGTAGATAACCCCAGTCCCCAATTGATTCGGATAATTGATGCTCTATTGTAATTATTTACTACTGAAATATAATGTATTTAGTTAGTTCTCTTCATACATCAAGAATAAAATAAGTTGGAAAATGTTAGGCTGGATTCACATTAGAACTGCCAAATCCAGTTTGATGGCCACTTGGGTTGGCAAAATAAATAAAACCATGCCAGTTGCTTTCATCCAGTGCAAGAGAGCAACACTTCATATAATTAAAAAGAAAACTTGTGTGTAATACATTCCAATTACGGTCATGTTAATAATATTTTAATAAAAATAGCATTTTGTTGATTTTTTTTAATGTAAATTCAACTGTATTTGTTTATTTTTTTTAGAGAGAATTGCAGTTTAACTTGGTATGAAGAAATTGATATTAGCTTTTCTGGAATTTACATACTTCAAAAAGATATTTTATCTGGTTTAGAGGAACTTCAAACTTCTCATTCTTATTCTGTTGGAGTACCTAAGGTAATGATAAGGAAATGCAATAACAACAGATTATTTAAAAGCAATTAATTAAATTATTGTTAAATGAAAAATGTTAATTAATTTCTACTTATATAACTATATATTTTTTGTGTGCTTTATATAACAGTAATATATATGATGTACAAAATTGTTTGCAGTTCAATATTTAGCTATATAATTAAAAATTAATCTAATGAATGGAATGTTAAATAAAGAAATTCAATTATAATCAGCTAGACTATGCATCTCTTGCAAAAAATGTATTTGTAGAATTTTTGGTTTTACTTAAAAAGTGTACTGAGAATAGGAGCTTCCTTCTAACTTGATTTAATTTTGTGAAATTTTATCCTTTTTTTTCAAAAGTAGTATATAATTTTTGAATAAATTTTAAGTATTATTATATGAAAATCAAATCATAAAATCAATCATATATGAAATATATTTAATATAATTTCTTTATTAAATATTTTACTTAGATTCCAAATGTATATTGGGAAGATATTGGTGGACTTGCTGATGTCAAACAAGAAATTTTAGATACAATTCAATTACCATTATTACACCCTGAATTATTTGCTGCTGGATTACGTAGATCTGGTGAAATTTATTTATCTTTAAAATTTTTTTTCTAAATTAATTAATTATAATATTTTTAATTTAAAGTACCAAAAATACAGTAAAAATATCTAAAAATAATATATATATATTTTTTTTTATTATATTTGAATTTTGGGCAAAATATCTGTATTGTTTGCAATATTTTATAGTGCATACTAATTTTTAATGTTTTTGCTATTTGAAATATTTTACTAGTTAACTATTTTACACCATATTCTGGGACAAAATAAGCACTGTGTGGAGTAAAGTAAATAAACATATTTTAATATCATAATTCATTTTTATTGTAATTAATTTCATGTTGTCATTCAAAAATATATTGTGAACATGAGATGATTTTGAACACTATTTAAGAAAAATAATAAAAGTGTCTTAAAAAATATTTTAATTAATACATTAATTAATAAGTGAAATGGCCAAAGACAATAATAAATATTAAAATATTCACACACTGAAGGACAAGATATGAAGGCATTTTGTTGTTTTTTCTGATTTGTGAATATTTTTTTATATTTATTATTGTCCTTGGCCATTTCATCTATTAATTAATGTACTAATTAAAACATTTTAAAGACATTTTTTATTGTGATTGTGCTATCACCTGGAAATTTTTGTTTTTACACAATGAGGCAGATGAGTAATCCCAAATAAAACATTGACTCCATCCATAAAGACTGTTATGAGATTGTTGAAGAAGGAAAAAGATATGAAGGAATTTTATTATTTCTTCTGATTTGTGAATATTTTTATAAAAATAAGTGTTTTCTATGGTTCATAGTTAGTTTAATGGGCAGTTTCTGAATCTAATGCATTATAAGAAATATTATTGCATTTTTCAGCTTCTGACAAAAGTATTTCTATATGATCCTCTATGACTTGATGGTTTTCTAATCCATTGTATAAAAGTTTTTTTATACAGGGTGTCCAAAAGTTACTGTGCAATGAGAACTTTGCAATGACATTAAAGTTATATGTACTGTTTTGTATGCACAACCTATAATTTGTATACAATACCATATGAGCAAATGAACAACTTGCAGGTCTTATATGCAATACCATATGTATAACTTTAATGACATTACAAGTTTCTCACTGCACAGTAACTTTTCAGACACCCCGTATAGTTTTCATACTTTTTTCAATATTGTGTATGCTAATATTAAAAATAACTTTTTATATATATTTTTTTCATGTAATTTCTTAGCATTTTGTGGAAAATAAAGTTAAAAAAAGAGCAAATAAACACTAATTTTACTTGAGAATTTTGCTTGGCTAGTAAGCTTTAATCATAAAGAAACTTATCAGCTAACTTCTCTGCAATTATTTATAATTTTAATAGTTCTTATAATCTATATTCTCTATTAATTGCTTATAAGTACACATTTAGAAATGGTCTGAATTAAATTTTGATTACAATTAATTAATCTATTATTTATAATTATAAAATGGTAAGAAATGAGGGTCATCCACTAGCTTTCCCAGGAAATAATTAATAATTATAATATGTACATCACAGGAAGTATATAATAATTCTGTTTAACTGTCATATGCTTCAATTATCTAATCCAAAAACAGCAAACACTTTTTAGCAAAACAGTATCCTACAGATAGTATAGTAAGCAAAATTAATACAGTAAAATCTGAATATAACAGAAATCTGCCTAAACAAAAAAATTTTTTGGAATGGAGCAATTTTCTATGTTACATTCTACTATAGGCAAGAAAACTTTCCACCAAATAAACAGAAGAGGTTCTTAAATATGAAGTACATAACCTGGATAAAGCAGAAAATTAAGATTCCACTTTTAGACAAATAAGTAAAAAAATTGCCTCCAGGTATAACAGTCTTCACAGAGCATGAAAAACTGTATTTTGAGAATAATCTCAAACTTTGTCAGAGAAATGGTCACATGTCAAAAGGACATACAGACACATGATATTTGTTGAAATTAACCCAGAGAATTCTTTTAACAATTGGATGAATTTTCAAAATTGAGTTCTTGAGAACTGCAGAGTCAACCTTTTATTAGCGGTTGCTCATCTACCTCACTATGCAAAATGTTACAAAACTTCCATCCGGTTACAGCATAGTGAGGCAGATGAGCAGCCTCTAATAAAAGGTTGACTTTGCCTTAAGACTGTTATTTTCCTGAGGTGTGAGAAAGGACATTGAAAGACTCGTTTGTATAGTCTTAATTGTGTGTGAATTTTTATAGTTAATTCTTTTAAGTTTATTTGAAACTCAAAGAAACTGTCAACTGTCATCAACTGTGAGGACATGTCAAATGTATGTGTTGAGTTTCAACTTTCCAACAGAACTTGTTATTACTGATTGTTAACATGTTAACATCAGACTAATAGCATGATCTTTTAAATAAACAATAAACTAAAACGTAAAATAAAAAATTAATTTAAGTTAGATAATTTGATTTTTTTATTTTATCATTTCAAAAGAGTTCATTTGGCTTCAATAAGTGAAGAGTAAGAGTAAATTGTTTTACTATATCAAAAAATGTACATGTAATCTTTAATAGAATACTGTTAGGATCAGGCAGAATTATAGTTATTATTTTTCTATTTATGAATATAAAAGTTGCATTTCATTAAAGACATTTTACTCTAAATAAAAAGATCAACATGCCAAATTACTGTTTTAATAAGTACAATTTTTATATAAGATATGCATCTTTTTCTAAGAAATTTTTGAATTATAGTAGTTTTTTCTTTATTTTTTTGTTTGATAAATAACACACATTTTTCTTTTGAATAACATTATGAAAATATATCAATAAATTATTTTTTAGGTGTACTTTTATATGGACCTCCTGGTACAGGAAAAACACTCCTTGCTAAAGCAGTTGCTACAGAATGTTCCTTAAATTTTTTAAGGTAACAATTTTATCAATTCTTGAAAATATTTATTCAGAAATTTGAAAACTTAAAAGTTTATTAAAATTTTAAATGAAGATGGTAATATAAGTTTAAATTTGATTATCTTTAACATTTAATTGATGCTAAAGATAAGCAAATTTAGAAATTTGAATTTACATGTACTGTAAGGTTTCTTTTTATGCGGATTATTTTTATGTGATTTTGAAGTTGTGCGGTTTGTATTTCGTCCAAAAATTTTTTGGACAAACATACATATAGGCTTGTTTAGGAAGCCCNGGGCTTGAAAACAAGCCTTCTTATTGCTCATAGGGTGGAAAGAGTAAAACAAAACAAAAAAAAAAAAACTGTCTAAACTACATTATCCTAATGAGTGCAGTATTTCAACATGTTTTCCATGCTTTTCAACTTAGGGTTTATTTAAGGCAGATTTATTTTTAACAGCACCTTTATTCCCTGGGGTTTATTTGAGTTCCAGGGTTTAATCAAGGAATCAGTGTTTATTATTCTATTTATGTTAATGTAAAAGTCAGTCACAAAGCTATTTGTATTGTCAAATTTGTTACAGTACATAAATAAGCTTAATAGATTTTTGTTTTAGTTTATTATTATTAGTGATTTGAAATTCATATTAATTTGGATTTTAGGAATAAACGAGATAGGCAACATCAACACTTATATAAATTGAAAGAGCTAGATAAATGTTTATGATTATTTCACAATTTTCTAACAAACCAAATTGTAAAAAGTTAAAAAGATTTTTAAAATATCTAAAAAATAAAATATAAGATCTATTAATATTTTGAATTCAATGCTATATAAATATCAAAATTAAGATTAGTAATCATTCACAAAAATTCATATGATTATTGTTGAACATTAAATAACATTAATTTAGTATTAAGTATTAATTTAAATTTATATACATGTTTTTAACCAGTTATGCTTCTCAATTAGTATGTGCAGTATGAATGAAACTCCTTTAGGTAATCATAAATATCCTTTACTTATTAGAATTTTAGCTCCTATTATTAGAAATTTTATCAAATAACATATAACTAATAGTATTTTTAAAATTATTTTTCACTGCCAAAATTTAACTATGACAAAATCAAAGTACAACTTAATAGAACATTATAATTGCATTTCAATAATAATGCTATTTGAACTTGTACTTTATGATAAGTCCCATATAAATGCTATATTTTAAAATTTTTATGGAACTAAAGATAAAATATGCATTCTGGGATCACATGAGTTCATGTTGGATTTTGGTATTTACAGAACCTTGTAATTACAGAAATCAGTATTTACAGTTCAATAAAACACTTATTTAAATTTAATTATTTTAATTTTAATACATATAGACGACAAAGCCGGAATTATTCTAATGCTTAAATGATAATTCATCCTTATCATTATTTGAATATTATTAATTTCCTTCAAATATTTAATTTCTAAATCCAAGAATGATGGAACCAACAATTTTTTTCCTGTCTCTGGACATATGTAATTTCCATATTTATTAAAAATTTTGAAACGGAAAAAATTAATAGTTGATCATTCTCACAAAATTAAATTTCTCTTACGGTAATCATGAACAAAATAAATAGTCAATTTTACAAAATTAGTTGAGAATACAGTAGAGCGTTGATTATCCGAATGCCAATCAACTGAAACATTGGTTAACTGAAAACGTTCCAGTCAGACTGTGTAATGCTTAATCAAATGTTTTTGATACTAGATTAACTTCTAAAGTATAATTTGTTTTTATTTTTCAATATATGTATTTTGTTTGTGCAAAATAAAGAAATAATTTTAATGATATAATAGCCACAATTTTTATTATAAACATTTTTGTTAGGCTTAACATCGATGAAAATTCAATGCGAAATGACACGCAGCAGAGAAAAATTTAAACATGGGATATATTAATATAATATTATTGGGATATACTAATATACTATATTAATAATGTATTTTTTTGTAGATAACCCCAGTCCCCAATTGATTCGGATAATTGATGCTCTATTGTAATTATTTACTACTGAAATATAATGTATTTAGTTAGTTCTCTTCATACATCAAGAATAAAATAAGTTGGAAAATGTTAGGCTGGATTCACATTAGAACTGCCAAATCCAGTTTGATGGCCACTTGGGTTGGCAAAATAAATAAAACCATGCCAGTTGCTTTCATCCAGTGCAAGAGAGCAACACTTCATATAATTAAAAAGAAAACTTGTGTGTAATACATTCCAATTACGGTCATGTTAATAATATTTTAATAAAAATAGCATTTTGTTGATTTTTTTTAATGTAAATTCAACTGTATTTGTTTATTTTTTTTAGAGAGAATTGCAGTTTAACTTGGTATGAAGAAATTGATATTAGCTTTTCTGGAATTTACATACTTCAAAAAGATATTTTATCTGGTTTAGAGGAACTTCAAACTTCTCATTCTTATTCTGTTGGAGTACCTAAGGTAATGATAAGGAAATGCAATAACAACAGATTATTTAAAAGCAATTAATTAAATTATTGTTAAATGAAAAATGTTAATTAATTTCTACTTATATAACTATATATTTTTTGTGTGCTTTATATAACAGTAATATATATGATGTACAAAATTGTTTGCAGTTCAATATTTAGCTATATAATTAAAAATTAATCTAATGAATGGAATGTTAAATAAAGAAATTCAATTATAATCAGCTAGACTATGCATCTCTTGCAAAAAATGTATTTGTAGAATTTTTGGTTTTACTTAAAAAGTGTACTGAGAATAGGAGCTTCCTTCTAACTTGATTTAATTTTGTGAAATTTTATCCTTTTTTTTCAAAAGTAGTATATAATTTTTGAATAAATTTTAAGTATTATTATATGAAAATCAAATCATAAAATCAATCATATATGAAATATATTTAATATAATTTCTTTATTAAATATTTTACTTAGATTCCAAATGTATATTGGGAAGATATTGGTGGACTTGCTGATGTCAAACAAGAAATTTTAGATACAATTCAATTACCATTATTACACCCTGAATTATTTGCTGCTGGATTACGTAGATCTGGTGAAATTTATTTATCTTTAAAATTTTTTTTCTAAATTAATTAATTATAATATTTTTAATTTAAAGTACCAAAAATACAGTAAAAATATCTAAAAATAATATATATATATTTTTTTTTATTATATTTGAATTTTGGGCAAAATATCTGTATTGTTTGCAATATTTTATAGTGCATACTAATTTTTAATGTTTTTGCTATTTGAAATATTTTACTAGTTAACTATTTTACACCATATTCTGGGACAAAATAAGCACTGTGTGGAGTAAAGTAAATAAACATATTTTAATATCATAATTCATTTTTATTGTAATTAATTTCATGTTGTCATTCAAAAATATATTGTGAACATGAGATGATTTTGAACACTATTTAAGAAAAATAATAAAAGTGTCTTAAAAAATATTTTAATTAATACATTAATTAATAAGTGAAATGGCCAAAGACAATAATAAATATTAAAATATTCACACACTGAAGGACAAGATATGAAGGCATTTTGTTGTTTTTTCTGATTTGTGAATATTTTTTTATATTTATTATTGTCCTTGGCCATTTCATCTATTAATTAATGTACTAATTAAAACATTTTAAAGACATTTTTTATTGTGATTGTGCTATCACCTGGAAATTTTTGTTTTTACACAATGAGGCAGATGAGTAATCCCAAATAAAACATTGACTCCATCCATAAAGACTGTTATGAGATTGTTGAAGAAGGAAAAAGATATGAAGGAATTTTATTATTTCTTCTGATTTGTGAATATTTTTATAAAAATAAGTGTTTTCTATGGTTCATAGTTAGTTTAATGGGCAGTTTCTGAATCTAATGCATTATAAGAAATATTATTGCATTTTTCAGCTTCTGACAAAAGTATTTCTATATGATCCTCTATGACTTGATGGTTTTCTAATCCATTGTATAAAAGTTTTTTTATACAGGGTGTCCAAAAGTTACTGTGCAATGAGAACTTTGCAATGACATTAAAGTTATATGTACTGTTTTGTATGCACAACCTATAATTTGTATACAATACCATATGAGCAAATGAACAACTTGCAGGTCTTATATGCAATACCATATGTATAACTTTAATGACATTACAAGTTTCTCACTGCACAGTAACTTTTCAGACACCCCGTATAGTTTTCATACTTTTTTCAATATTGTGTATGCTAATATTAAAAATAACTTTTTATATATATTTTTTTTTATTATATTTGAATTTTGGGCAAAATATCTGTATTGTTTGCAATATTTTATAGTGCATACTAATTTTTAATGTTTTTGCTATTTGAAATATTTTACTAGTTAACTATTTTACACCATATTCTGGGACAAAATAAGCACTGTGTGGAGTAAAGTAAATAAACATATTTTAATATCATAATTCATTTTTATTGTAATTAATTTCATGTTGTCATTCAAAAATATATTGTGAACATGAGATGATTTTGAACACTATTTAAGAAAAATAATAAAAGTGTCTTAAAAAATATTTTAATTAATACATTAATTAATAAGTGAAATGGCCAAAGACAATAATAAATATTAAAATATTCACACACTGAAGGACAAGATATGAAGGCATTTTGTTGTTTTTTCTGATTTGTGAATATTTTTTTATATTTATTATTGTCCTTGGCCATTTCATCTATTAATTAATGTACTAATTAAAACATTTTAAAGACATTTTTTATTGTGATTGTGCTATCACCTGGAAATTTTTGTTTTTACACAATGAGGCAGATGAGTAATCCCAAATAAAACATTGACTCCATCCATAAAGACTGTTATGAGATTGTTGAAGAAGGAAAAAGATATGAAGGAATTTTATTATTTCTTCTGATTTGTGAATATTTTTATAAAAATAAGTGTTTTCTATGGTTCATAGTTAGTTTAATGGGCAGTTTCTGAATCTAATGCATTATAAGAAATATTATTGCATTTTTCAGCTTCTGACAAAAGTATTTCTATATGATCCTCTATGACTTGATGGTTTTCTAATCCATTGTATAAAAGTTTTTTTATACAGGGTGTCCAAAAGTTACTGTGCAATGAGAACTTTGCAATGACATTAAAGTTATATGTACTGTTTTGTATGCACAACCTATAATTTGTATACAATACCATATGAGCAAATGAACAACTTGCAGGTCTTATATGCAATACCATATGTATAACTTTAATGACATTACAAGTTTCTCACTGCACAGTAACTTTTCAGACACCCCGTATAGTTTTCATACTTTTTTCAATATTGTGTATGCTAATATTAAAAATAACTTTTTATATATATTTTTTTCATGTAATTTCTTAGCATTTTGTGGAAAATAAAGTTAAAAAAAGAGCAAATAAACACTAATTTTACTTGAGAATTTTGCTTGGCTAGTAAGCTTTAATCATAAAGAAACTTATCAGCTAACTTCTCTGCAATTATTTATAATTTTAATAGTTCTTATAATCTATATTCTCTATTAATTGCTTATAAGTACACATTTAGAAATGGTCTGAATTAAATTTTGATTACAATTAATTAATCTATTATTTATAATTATAAAATGGTAAGAAATGAGGGTCATCCACTAGCTTTCCCAGGAAATAATTAATAATTATAATATGTACATCACAGGAAGTATATAATAATTCTGTTTAACTGTCATATGCTTCAATTATCTAATCCAAAAACAGCAAACACTTTTTAGCAAAACAGTATCCTACAGATAGTATAGTAAGCAAAATTAATACAGTAAAATCTGAATATAACAGAAATCTGCCTAAACAAAAAAATTTTTTGGAATGGAGCAATTTTCTATGTTACATTCTACTATAGGCAAGAAAACTTTCCACCAAATAAACAGAAGAGGTTCTTAAATATGAAGTACATAACCTGGATAAAGCAGAAAATTAAGATTCCACTTTTAGACAAATAAGTAAAAAAATTGCCTCCAGGTATAACAGTCTTCACAGAGCATGAAAAACTGTATTTTGAGAATAATCTCAAACTTTGTCAGAGAAATGGTCACATGTCAAAAGGACATACAGACACATGATATTTGTTGAAATTAACCCAGAGAATTCTTTTAACAATTGGATGAATTTTCAAAATTGAGTTCTTGAGAACTGCAGAGTCAACCTTTTATTAGCGGTTGCTCATCTACCTCACTATGCAAAATGTTACAAAACTTCCATCCGGTTACAGCATAGTGAGGCAGATGAGCAGCCTCTAATAAAAGGTTGACTTTGCCTTAAGACTGTTATTTTCCTGAGGTGTGAGAAAGGACATTGAAAGACTCGTTTGTATAGTCTTAATTGTGTGTGAATTTTTATAGTTAATTCTTTTAAGTTTATTTGAAACTCAAAGAAACTGTCAACTGTCATCAACTGTGAGGACATGTCAAATGTATGTGTTGAGTTTCAACTTTCCAACAGAACTTGTTATTACTGATTGTTAACATGTTAACATCAGACTAATAGCATGATCTTTTAAATAAACAATAAACTAAAACGTAAAATAAAAAATTAATTTAAGTTAGATAATTTGATTTTTTTATTTTATCATTTCAAAAGAGTTCATTTGGCTTCAATAAGTGAAGAGTAAGAGTAAATTGTTTTACTATATCAAAAAATGTACATGTAATCTTTAATAGAATACTGTTAGGATCAGGCAGAATTATAGTTATTATTTTTCTATTTATGAATATAAAAGTTGCATTTCATTAAAGACATTTTACTCTAAATAAAAAGATCAACATGCCAAATTACTGTTTTAATAAGTACAATTTTTATATAAGATATGCATCTTTTTCTAAGAAATTTTTGAATTATAGTAGTTTTTTCTTTATTTTTTTGTTTGATAAATAACACACATTTTTCTTTTGAATAACATTATGAAAATATATCAATAAATTATTTTTTAGGTGTACTTTTATATGGACCTCCTGGTACAGGAAAAACACTCCTTGCTAAAGCAGTTGCTACAGAATGTTCCTTAAATTTTTTAAGGTAACAATTTTATCAATTCTTGAAAATATTTATTCAGAAATTTGAAAACTTAAAAGTTTATTAAAATTTTAAATGAAGATGGTAATATAAGTTTAAATTTGATTATCTTTAACATTTAATTGATGCTAAAGATAAGCAAATTTAGAAATTTGAATTTACATGTACTGTAAGGTTTCTTTTTATGCGGATTATTTTTATGTGATTTTGAAGTTGTGCGGTTTGTATTTCGTCCAAAAATTTTTTGGACAAACATACATATAGGCTTGTTTAGGAAGCCCGCGTACGGACAGTCTCCAAAAATCATGGAACACTCAAAGCTCACTCCATTTGTTCCGCTGACATATAACGTTTATGGATGTAAAGGACAGCTAGATCTACCTTAATCGCTTTAGTTCCTAGCAATTTTTGATATAAATGTAATTAAACATAAAAAATACTTAAAACTGAAAAAAACGAAAGAAATGCGTTAATTTTGAAGAAAAAGCTTCAAAGTTTAACTTCCTTTGTCTCGCCCTTCTGTGAAATTTAACACCGATGAGTCATTGTTTACACATCTGGATGACCTTGAACACAGCTGGAGTTGGATTTCCCGGGGCATTCTCATAGACGTCGCGGGAGGACAAGGGTTTAAAGTAGGGTGAACACTAGCTGGCCGTATATTTTTAAATATTTTTAAAAAATTTGGAGACTTAAAAAACATTCCAAAAATTCAAAAAAAAAATTCCAAAATGGCCTTAAGGACCGTGTTTTATGTAACGCTATGTAACCTGCCCGAGTTAACTCGGGCGAGGAACTAAAGGGGTTTTAATTAACTCTTCACATCCAGATGTCAGTGATTTGTTTTTAGAGTGAGCTTTTGCAATTCGGGGATTCCCCTTGTACATGATACCATCGACAAGTCGCTATTACATCATTCTGAGTTTCGCATTGAAAGGTATAAACTGTAATTGTTTTGAAATTAAATTTTATATGAATTTCTTTCAGACATTCGAAGTAATTTATTAAGCAGCCTATTTCTTTTAATTTCTGCAAACTTTTTTATGCGGTTTTAAGTTAATTTTAACTCGTTGTTTTGGTTTTATGCGATTTTAGAAAATTACGGAACATATCCCTACTTTTTCAAGGCAAGTAAAGTCTTTTTTTATGCGAATTTTTTATATGCGCTTTTCTGTAGAACGTATCCACCGCATAAAACGAGACCTTACAGTACATTGAAATGACAAATCTAATAGCAATCACATCATGTACTTTAATTTGATTTTTTGGATAGTAAACAAGCTTTAACATACAGATTTTTAACTTAAATAAAGAAAAATATCAATTACAAAGTCATAGAATGTATTATAAAGCAATCTTGACTTAAGCTTACAAATATTAACCACAACTCAAACTGGTCATATATGCAAAAAATAACAAAAACATTTTGAGATCAGTAAAAAATATTTTATGCTATGAATGTTTAATTTCATCTACAGTAAACATCCCCAGGTACTCTCGAATATAAACTGACAGAACATACTTTTAAAATGAATCAAACAAATCCAAAATTTAAAAAATTTAAAAATAGATATGCACAAAATTAACAAAGTTCTACATCAGTTCAACCAATCCACACCAAGCTGTAGAGAAAGAATCATTCATTTTAAAATTAATTTCTTTGCCTTTCTTAATGTTGTGACCAAAGATGGGCAGATCAATTGTTTATATTGGGGCCACAGCCAGGGGTCTAGCCACAAGAATTAAAGAAAGCCAATACAATATCAAAAAGAAAATGGCCAACACAACACTAGCTGCATACTCAGGGGAGAAAGATGTAAGGATCAACTTTCATGATGCCAGTACAGTCGACCCCCCATAACACGGGTTCCTATAGTTTGGATTCCTATATGACGGTGAAAAAATTGTGACGGTATCCATACAAACATGGTAAAAAAACTCCTATAATTCAGTAAAACGTCATCAGGCACCGAACTACTTTCCACCGTCCAGTGCCACACTACGGAGAGTTTAGGCGGGTAAATTGAGTTTACTATCGTCTGTACAGTATTATATATAAATTATATATAAATTAGATACTGTACATATAATTATATATTAACTTAATTTATTGTAACTTTATTATAACTATATATATACTTTCTGCCATCCAGTGCCACGCTATGGAGAGTTTAGGCGAGTAAGTTGAGTTTACTGTCGTCTGTACAGTACGTAAATTAGGTACCGTAAGTCTAATACAGCACTAATTTTATACATTTCTTGTGAAAGAAACATTTCTTATTCAACGGCCATAAAAATGATTTATATTAATAATGTCTCCAAAGTTCAACGAAGTTTTCGCAGAAAAATAATTTATCAGAAATTGCGGGTGCCGTTTGGTGCGCTGCTTCGTGACGAAAAACAAGCTTAAGCAATGACGATGTTGAACGGTGCACACTTAGTAAGTAATCCTACAATTTTTTGTTTATAGCATAGTTTATATGGATTATTCCCAAAAAAAATATACGTATTAGTGATGTAACGAATATTCGGTTACTATTCGGTATTCGGCCTATTCAGTCTATTGTTTGCTATTCGGCCGAATACCGAATATTTAAATCACTATNTAATCCTACAATTTTTTGTTTATAGCATAGTTTATATGGATTATTCCCAAAAAAAATATACGTATTAGTGATGTAACGAATATTCGGTTACTATTCGGTATTCGGCCTATTCAGTCTATTGTTTGCTATTCGGCCGAATACCGAATATTTAAATCACTATTCAGCCAAATACCGAATACCTAAAAACAGGAGTGAGAAATAACAAAAACACAGTAAATTAATCATTTTGGTATTTAGATTTAATTTTGTCGGGTTAGTGTTGTTTGCTTATATTTATTTATAACTTATAACATGCAAAAAATATAAAAAAATAATATTAGTTACATATATTCACAATTTATAATTACAAAGATCAGCACATGTACACACCTATTCGTTCGAGAATCGTCGCACATCTGAAGGTCTGACCCTGCCTATCCTTCTTTTTAAGCGCTCGTCTTTGCTCTTCCCTTTCTTTTTCCTCCATCTGTCCACGTATGCCTATGCATACATCATAATACGCGCTCACGATACTTTCCATTCGTCACTTTTCCGTCATAGTTTTTCCATTTTATAATTACGTGACTCATAGCCTGGTGATAACGGAGAAAAGAGGCAGATAGGACGTCGGTATATGTCACAGTTATGAATTCACAGATTCGAGACAGCATGGTAGCCCGAACGGTCCCAGGCTTTCGCCCGTGCACACTAAGTGACTTTCGTTACAAGCATTTAGCTTTCCAAAGTCTATGACAATTGTTTGGCATTGACGGCCTCAAATTTCGTGCCAATAAGCTTCGACTTGTTCGATTATGTTATCGACTCAATTTCATATTTCTTTTCACATTTTTACTTTGCGGTCCTTCTCTGTTCTTTTTCCGTTATTTACATGTGTAGGTCATTTCATTGTCATCCACATTTGACATCATCATTTATCACATACTGCCATGATGCTCTTGTCTGTCCACTATAACTGTCAAGAATTAACGCGATTGGCGAAGCGTAGTGACAGTGGGCCAATAGAGAGCGGAGTCCTTGCCATAATGAGGTTTGCGCGCCAATTTTCGTACGTGAGTTAATTGAGCCAGATAGTTTGGCCGAATATTCGATATTCGGCCTGAGGCCGAATATACTATTCGTTGCAACACTAATACGTATTTTGGAAATGTTGAGTCAAATTAGTCTAGGAATCGATTAATTTTATGGAAGAAAACCTTTCATATAGCCGTAGTCCATAAACTGCGTACGTGCCGGGCTGTGATTGGCAAGGACTTGTACAAAATGGATTCATAAAGAACAGAACGTATCTACCGTGTTATAGGGGGGTCGACTGTATATTACATCACACAATGGACAGGGTATGATTGAAACATCTGGAGGTCTTTGAGATTTACAAAGGAATGAAGAAAGGCAAAGCAATTAATTTTAAAGAGAATAACTCCTTCTCAACAGCTTGGTGGCATTGGTTGAACTTTGTTGGTTTTGTGCATGTCTATTTTTAAAGTATTTGGATTTGTTTAATTTATTTTAAAAATATGTTGTCAGTTTGTATTCAAGAATACATGACAATGTTTATTATAAACAAAAGAAAACATTCATAGCATAAAATATTTTTCTTTTACTGGTTTCTTTTATGTTTTTGTGTTATTAATCTTACAAATGAAAACAATTAATTAATAGCATTTATTTTACAATACATCGTGGAGTACTGACTCTAATCTTGATCTTTTCGTATATTTATTTATAAGTATATATGAAAGGAACTATTATGAATTTTTAGGATATAAAAATTTATTTAAAAAATTTATTAAAACAAGAAAAAGTTATCTGCAACTGAATTTGAGTTAGCACTTAACAAAGCACTTTTATTGATTGTACTGTGCATCCTAAGCAAAGTCATGTCAGGAACTGATTTTTGTAAAAAAGCAAAAAGGAAATTGAGATAATCCACCACTTGCTTCTAAAAATAAGAAGCACATTTGGATGAGTAACAAATTATTAGTATTGTTTTAATCAACTACATTATTACACTCCTCCACAATCCTTAAGTTCACATCTCAAAACTGCTTAATGGAAATCAATTTATTAAATTTTTTCAACTAAGCACTTTTTGCCCTTTATTTGTTCATCTTCAGAATTGGTTTTCATTTTGAATGTTTTGAATTTTCCAAACAGCTTCCTGTTGGAACTATAGTTCTAGCTACAAATTTCAAATCAATGTTCCACTTGGAACACTGCAATTCAAATATAAAAATGTATTCTTTGTCCTCATCACTCATTTCCATGCTGTTGGTAACAAGTCTGTGTCTTTCAAATTAATTATGTAACAAAATTTTGGACTAAACAAAAAACTTAAGCTAAAAGATATTACACTAAATATGAAGGACCCAACTCTATTCCACTGCTGCCACTCTCTTTCCTAAAGNTTTAAAATAAATTGATTTCTAAATACAAATTTTTACAATTTCTATGAATAAATTGAAAATCTCATTTTAAAAGTTAGCTCGAATTACTGTATATATATATCCTCTTTTAAATTTTTAAAAAAGTTAATTTATGAATATATTCAATATTTAGAAGTGAAAAACTACGTGTTTTAACATATAATTTTTTCTAAAATTTATTAATTAATAAATATTTATAAACAATTACTACGAAACGGTGTAAGTTCGATGGCACTTTAACACGTTTTGTTAAAAAATTAGAAAGATACCTTCGACCGAACACGTTCATGTTCTTGGAAGTTAAACTTATATCCGTGTTGGAAATTATGCGAAAAGTAGACAAGTTTGACCTTGAATAGGAAAACAATGCTTGGCTTTTTACCTCTACTTTTCTCATCTCGCATTTTCCACTTTCATTTTCTACAGATGATTTACAATGCTTTTTTTTATTCCAGTCGAATGTTATTAAAAGGTTGGAAGAAAGAGAAAGAGAAATCATGCGGTTAAAGGTATGATTTTTATTGTTAAGAATGTGTTCCTTAATGAAGATTTCTGACGGTGCTAATTTAAAGAATGATTCTACCTTACAGGAAGAGTTGGGAAGGCAAGAATTGGAGTTGAATAATCAAAAGGATCAATATAGCGATGCACTTAAAGATTTGTCGCTGGCGACAAAAGCTAAAGTAAGTTTTTGTTCATTTATATACAGCCAAACTTCGCCCTTCTAGATAGAGCCAACCTAGTGAATTATCTAGAATGAATATTCCTTTTAAATATTAAATTGAATACCCTTCAGTGTTAGTGAATTACTAAATATAAGATTTCTCATCTCGAATGACATTGATATCATCGAATTGACTTTCAAACTCTCAAATTCACATATAGATCTCGTTACGCCCCACACTCGCTTTAGTGCTAATTTTAGAGGCGGCGCTAAATCGAAGTTTGGCTGAAGTTTAATTTATTTAATCTATGAAGTTAGATAAACAATTAGGAATATTCAAAGGTATGAGAAAATGGAGATAATGTAATAATTATCTTTTAAATTATAACTAAAAACATGTACAGTACAGTACAATAGGGATTGGTATGCAAGTGGATAGATATAAGAAACATTATATATATATATATATAAAAGGATTAAAATTAAAATTTATTTTTCAGTGTGTGATCTGTTCACTATAGAAAGAAAATAATTATTTTTCTCTTTTTCCATGTTGACTATAACATAAGGTGTAATAAAAAATATAATTTTTGTATTGTTGTTCTAGGTTGCACTTCTTAAACTATGAAGGAATTTATAGAAATATGACTTTAATTTTAAAAAAATTATTAATTTTAATATATAAGTATTTTTAATATAAAAAAAGTTCTAGTCTCTAGTCCAAGAAAATAAAATAACAGAAACCAAAACATTTAAACGAATGATTTTTGTAATTATAAACTAATTATAAAATCATCTCATTTTCTTAGTAATGGGAGGATACAAAATTTCTGAAATTTAATTAAAGGCAGCGAAATTTAAGAAATGTGTATAATTATCTTATATTACAAATTTAGAATTTTTATTACTCATAAAAATACAATTTATTATAATTTTTAATGTTATAAAATAAAGAAAAGAATTTACTTTCATTAATTTTTTTTTATACTCTTACTGATAGAATTTTCTATCTTTTATATCAAATTCTGTAATTTTAAAAGTTTAAATTGAATTTACTAAAATAAAACTTTTTTACCCCTTTCTATACATTCTCTCGGAGCGATGACATAATTATAATGAAATTCTATATATCAGTTGATAGTTATCAATGGTCCGAACAAAGAAAAACTTTGTACCAACTTTATCAATCTTCTCACGATAATTAAATATTGTTACTCTTCTTAAAATAAAATGTTAATTTTTAAAGTAATTAATTTTAGAAATTTTTTTTATGACTATCTTCGATTCAAAATGGCTAGAATTACTTCTGTTGTAATACCTAATTAATTAGAATGAATAAATAAAATTTGAGGAAAATTTTAATTTTAAAAGAATTGTTAAAATATAAATTTTAAAATAATTTACTTAAAATTTTTTAAGTATGACTTTTTTATAATAAATGTACAGTGCATTAGTTTAGAAACTAATTATAAAATCTAATATATTCACATGCTTTAATTAATTTTGATAGAAATTATATATAAATACTTTATGATATATTAAAAATACTTATAAGCATTAATTGAATAGCAGTTAATATTTTATACAAATTTATTTTTACAAATTTTTAATTCAAATAGAATTTTGTTTTAATTATAATAAAATTAAATGATCTAAATAACGGTAATTAAAATTTAGATTTATTATTCATGAATTTAAATTAGTTTTTTTTTCTTTTTAGTATTTAACATTATCCTTGGATTTTTGCATTTAAAATAATTTAACAGGTGTTTTTATTTTTTACAAATTTAATAAATTATTCAGAAAGTTATTTATGTTTCTTTACTTTATAAAAAAATGAGTCTAATTAATTTCAACATTTTACATGAATATTGATTAAAAGTAAAAATGCATAAATAGTTTTATTGACAAGAGATGTAGCAAAACTTCAGTTTTATATGCAAATTTTTCCATTTGTTTTGAATGTTAACTGTAAACTATCTGGATTTTTAACGTTCGAAACGACTAAACTAGTATCTTTTTAATTACTATAATTAAGGTGATGCTGAATATGCTAAGTTATCTTATTAAAGAAATAATAGGATCCTTCTAGAATTCCATAGTTAGATTCACATACTACAACTAGAAAAATTACTGTATGTAATCAACCAATCAACAGCCAAATTAATCGGACAGAAATATAATTTCTGCCCGATTAATTTGGCTGTTGATTGGTTGATTTTTAATACATCGGGTTCTTGGGGTGTTTATATACCGTATGGTAATTCAGTATCTCTCTACAGAATCTTTTGAATTAAAATACTAGCATTAATTCTTTTATACATTATATTCTCTCGAATAAATGAATAAACAAAATAGTAAAATGAAAAATATTTAGAATATTTTCTACATATTTAGTTATTATTATAAGAATCGTAAATTAATTGAGAATTTTGAGCTTAAATGGTTACTTCTGTATGTGTCAGAATTTCTCTCGTAATAAATTTGCAAAGTTAGATTGTTAGAAATGTCAGATGTCCCGGATTTTATTCTCAAGTATTTGGTAGCCCTAATAATGTTAATGATAAAATTAAAGACAGCATAACATACGATGTTATTCTTATATTCTCGATATTCTTTACTATTGAAAATTCTATAGGCTAAATATTCCACTATTTGTTCGTATTATTAAAATATTTTTAAAATGTTCTTCGATGTTTCTTTGAAATCCTTTCCAGAAACTTCTTTAAAAAATAATGAATGCTTTTTATTCATTATTTTAAAAATTTTTATGGATAATATTTTTGTGATAATTATTCCAATATCATTTTATTATGAAGATCTTGTTATATTTATCCTATATAATCCATCCATTAATATACAGTAGTATTCTAAGATATTATAAGAATTAGTGCTTAAGTTTTACATGTTTAAGATTGAAATTATCTTCCATTTCCTAATTTGTCTGTTACTTTTACTAATTACAGTATTTTATAAGATAAATAATTAATAAAATTAGTTTAAAAATTAATTTCTTATTTTTATTACAGAATAATATGTGCATTCAGTTGGTAGAACAAGAGAAAAGAGTGGCCAGATTAGAGCAATGTTTATCCTTACCCGTAGCCACCAGGTTACAGGTAAAATAATTGTAATACTGTACTATGTTTAAGTTTCACAAAATAATCTTCATCATTTATCAATTTAATTTGCAGCAAAGACAAGAACTTCAAGTAGTTCGAGAAGCGATAGATAGCTTACGTTTGTGTTTTCCTTCCAATGATCCGCATCAGCATACTTTAGATACTATCGAACAAAGTATTGCCACGTTATGCGAAAGGGTAAATGCTATCGAAGCTTTTAAGGTATGTTTATATCCAAGTTATAGATCGTTGAAGTATATTAAACGATAGAATATAAATACATATAATTTTAAGAATATAATACTCGTGTTTAATTTGTTCACCGTATCTTATAGTGTGATACCTCTAGCATTCCTCCAATAGATGAAGCTAGTGGGTTTTCCAGTCCTGCAGAACAATCATTCACCGAGAGCACATGGCACCAACCAGTACCCCAATTAAGAGGTACTTTTATAAGTTTTCGTACCATTTTTCTTTTATATGATTCGAAATTTTACAGGAATGTTAACCTTTTTGTTTTTTAATTTTTAGCTACGAATCCTTCTTATTACAGAAGTCATAGAGAATCGAAACATCCTACAAAAGTTTTATATTTTATGTCTAGATCGACTACTCCTTTCCAGTGCAGTATTCATAAAAGGTAACTCTTCATTTTCCTCCTCCCTTTTTGTGGAAATAAAGTAAGTTTCTAAGTATAATTTTCATATTCTACCATTCCAGGTTAGGTGAAATTACTTTAAGGGATTTTAAAACTCTTTTCGATCGTCCCGGGCAATATCGTTTCCATTTTAAATCGTTAGATCCAATTTACGGTGCTGTTAAAGAAGAAGTAAGTTTCAGTTTTATCTACTTTCAATATATATATATATATATATATATATACTTACAGAAAATTTCGAATCTTTTATTATTTAATATAATTCTAAATATTTTATGGATTTTTAAAAATAATTTCCCGTAAGAATTTTTGATAAAAAAAATTATTATTCTTTAAAATAACAAAGTAGGAATTTAGATAAATTAAGTGGCGCCATCTGTTGTTTAAAATATAGAATAGATATCGACATATTTAAAAAAATTATTTCCATTATTTTCTAAATACATTGGAATACCATCAAAACCGAATATATAACGTGTCTTGTCTAGCGAATAAATAATGTAAATGTTGTTAATTTGTCACTTTGCGTGTGACGTGTGTCCACCTCTTTTTATCTACGTTCCTGTCGTTCAAAGTTGTTACACATCAGTTATCGAGACTAACAATAAAAACATTTAACGTTAAATGAAAAAAAATTCCGGAAATTTAGATCTTTTTTTCCCTTTATAAATTGAAAATTCTTTACTTATTATAAAGAAGAAAATAATAATTACTCCACTACAGTCGATAACTAACGTAGAGTCAACGATAAACTTTACAGACCTAATAAAACCTAATAAAATAATAGTAATAATAATAATAATAAAGGCCTTTCAAATATTAAGGCTCGAGTGGTTTGCCTTTCTGAGGCATATAGAAAGCTTTAAAAAAGGTATTATAGTTTTAAAACATGAAATAGGATTTTTTCCCTTCTTAACATACAAGAAATATAATTCAATAAATAATTTATGTGTTTGAGGCCATTTAAATATGAAGCTTGAGCCAAAAATCCCTGCTGGCCTCTGCTAGGAGAGAGCCTGATTATTGTTATAGTCAAACCCTCATATCTATAGAATAAGTCAATTTATTGTAATAATAGCAATAGCATAAGTGGCTTAATGTTAAAGGAAAGAAACACCATTAAGCTTATATATTTTTAAATATTTTAATACTTTATTTTCACAATATTTATTGAATTTTATATTAGATTAATAATTTATATGATTATTTAAATTTTAGATTGTTCAAGATGATGATGTTTTACCAAGTTGGGATGGAAAAATTATAGCTTGGGTTGAAGAAGAAAACGGGTAAAATAATAAATAAATAAATAAAACATTTATCTGTAGAATAAGTCAAACAAAAATGGTGCTCAAGTTCTCCATACGTTAACACGCGATTAATTTGTTTATTTTTATTTGAGAAGAAACGAAAGGAGAGTGTTGTACATACTGTAAATCCAGTGCTGCAATGTCTTCCTATATATATTTTATATATATATATATATATACACACGAAAATATTTTTACTAACGTCAACCCGCGCCACCTAAAATGGTTCGAAAATATTGTTAAAATATTTTGTACATTTATTTGTTATATAAAAACAATACGTGGAATTTGTAAACTGTACATTGATGTGACGCTTGTATTGTTTGCTATTAAAATAATATAGTTTTATGAAGTCTTTTTTTAATTCTCATAATACATTTTCTTTTAATTTCGAAAATAAAATTTAAACAGAATTAATAAAAATTGATATTAAAGACTCTAAAACCCATAATTTTTGTATGAGTTTATTGTACAAAATAAACTTATAAAACTATAAAAATCACGTAAAGTATTCTTTACATTGTTCAGAATTCACAATGCTGATTTATTAAAATAAAACTATAGAGACAGAAGATTGTAAATTAAATTTTGTATAATTTATTAAGAATAATGTTTCGAATATTTAATATTTAGAGTATGTTAAATTACGTATTCTTTACATTAAGTTATTCAGCATTATTCTGAATAAATTGTATCATTTACATTAAATCCATCCTCCAAAAACTGTTATAATCTCTCTTATATAAGCTGATTTTTTTAAAATAAATTTATTTAAATTCGTTAAAATCAAAATAAATAAAATGCAAATACAGTAAATGTATTTTTGTATATTTAATATCAGAATTTTTTATCCTTTCAGTTTATTTTACTTTGTATAAAATGAAAAACTTATAAAAGGATTACACTTTGTATATTTTCTGAAAACATTTTTATGTTTCTTAAGCAAAAGTGATGATGGATAACCCAATTGATATACTGTATTAGAAAATGTCGATAGAAACTCGATCGATAGAATAAAAAATCCAGCAACGAGTTGCTTAACTTTCTCGTCAACATTTGGTAACACCATCTGTTATAATATTTTATTAAACATTTTTTATATTTTTAACTACAGTATTATGAAATAGCAAAAAGCTTAATTTTGAGAGTATTGATGGGTTTTATAAAAAAATTGCAAATGCTAATAACGAGTAAAATCGTCATTCAGTCATACCTACTAGAGATACACACGATTCCCATTACTGTATCTCCTAACCCCATCGACCTTTAACCACCAAAATTTATTAGCATCAATCTCCCTAATACACAAACCTTCTTGCAAAATTTCATAAATTTTCGACAAAAAGCACAGTAGTTATTAAGCTTCAAACAGGGTGAACAAAATCGTGCTTCCCACACATAAACTAACATCCATACATACAGAAATTACCTCCGAATTGTTTTACATTTCTCAACGTTTCAAGATATCTCCAGTTCAAAAATGTAAAAACCTTGGGAAAATCATTTTTTGACCGATCGCCATACTTTCCGTCTGTTACATATAACAGCCGAAAAAGTAAAAATACAGTACTTATATAAATTCCGTATAAACTAGAGAATTTAAAAAATTTATTAAAACAAGAAAAAGTTATCTGCAACTGAATTTGAGTTAGCACTTAACAAAGCACTTTTATTGATTGTACTGTGCATCCTAAGCAAAGTCATGTCAGGAACTGATTTTTGTAAAAAAGCAAAAAGGAAATTGAGATAATCCACCACTTGCTTCTAAAAATAAGAAGCACATTTGGATGAGTAACAAATTATTAGTATTGTTTTAATCAACTACATTATTACACTCCTCCACAATCCTTAAGTTCACATCTCAAAACTGCTTAATGGAAATCAATTTATTAAATTTTTTCAACTAAGCACTTTTTGCCCTTTATTTGTTCATCTTCAGAATTGGTTTTCATTTTGAATGTTTTGAATTTTCCAAACAGCTTCCTGTTGGAACTATAGTTCTAGCTACAAATTTCAAATCAATGTTCCACTTGGAACACTGCAATTCAAATATAAAAATGTATTCTTTGTCCTCATCACTCATTTCCATGCTGTTGGTAACAAGTCTGTGTCTTTCAAATTAATTATGTAACAAAATTTTGGACTAAACAAAAAACTTAAGCTAAAAGATATTACACTAAATATGAAGGACCCAACTCTATTCCACTGCTGCCACTCTCTTTCCTAAAGCCCTACAATGCCTTTTCACTTTACTCTTAACCTTTTCTAATTCAACTTTCACCAAACTCTCCTGCTCATGTAGTGTCTATCCCTAATCATTTTAAACTTTAAATTTGAATTGCAGTGGTCCAAGTGGAACATTGGTTTGAAATTTGTAGATAGAACTATAGTTCCAATGGGAAGCTATTTGTTGAGAGAATTCAAAAACATTCTAGAAACATTTATGGAAGAATTCTAAAATTTGAAATGTAAATTGGTTCTGAGATGGACAAACAGAGGTTCAAAGATCTTAGTTGAATAAATTGATCTCTGTTAAGCAATGTTGGTATATGAATTTATTATTTTAATCACCTCACCATATACATATACAGTATAAACAGCTCTAAACCTGATAGTTATATTAAAGCCAAATGATTGCTGGATTAAATTGGGTTATATTACCTCTACTATTAATAATTAAATACTAAATAATTCGATCTAGTGGTAGGCATTGAGCACCATCTCTTATTAAATTTACTAATTTTAATTAAATTAATATTTATTAAATAATTTAGAAAATTGCATAAAATTAAATCCCTTGCCAAATTAAGTAGAATTAAAAAAGATATTGTGTAAGTGTTTATAATGTTAAGTATATCATTTATATCTGCTAAACTATTAAAATTGTAAATTGTGAAAAAATGTAATACTAAGAAAATACTTTTTATTGTTATATTCTATATTCATTACATCAACTTAAAGAATAGAAAATTCAAACTGCTTTTCATATAGCCAAAATTTATGAAAGTTTGACCTAAAATGGGTTTAAACATGTTTTCAACTCATTTTAGGCCAGAATTAAAATTTATCTTACTCATTGATACCTGTAAATTTCTGTAAGCAAAAATTTTATAATTTTTACACACTATTTTTCATTTTAATCTGAAAATTAAAATAAGAAATATATTAAAAATTTAAATTGTAACAAAAAGCATTCAAAAGCAAATATTAAAACAAAATAAAAAAGTTAAGTTTCTATAATTTATATATAAACAAACATAAAGCATCTCTATTTATTTAATATTGCTTAATATAGATATTTTAGTGTGAGATTCTAGGGATTTTTAGATTCAAAACCCCACTTTTGTGACACCAATATGTGAACCGCTGGGGAGGTCAGAGGTCTCCCGGTTTGCGTCACTAGTCAGGATAACAAGTCAGGCGAGTGGAGGGAGAGTTTCTTGGGGTTGACGATAAGATGAAGGACATAAACAAGTAAAGGAGTCTACCATTTTAACAAGTAAAAATAAGAATTTATTGAAATAAACAAAATCGATAAAAAGACTACATAAATTTCTTTCTAAACTGCCTATCAGCTCGAGAGAGACTTTACACACTTTTCGTACCTATTTGTATGGTTCCTAGGCAAGTAAGTCCATGTAGGCACTTAATTGTTCAATAAAAGGTGGTTTTAATCCAAATGAGCACAATGATAAAAAGTTTGCGACTTTGGTGATGATCGAATATCGATGATCTTAGATTGGAATGTCGGCGGGTTCGAAGAATCGACGTGATGTCATCGGTCCGACTTTTGTTACTCCCCTGAGAGGGGGTAAGAACTGTCTTTTATAGCTTTTTGCGGGGAATTTCCACCATGTGATCGGATGTTCATGAGCTAAAGGTTATAGGTGTTCCAGGGACCTAAACAAGTGACGAATTTTGGATGCTAACTATAAACTTTTATGCAAGACAAGCTGCAAGTTATGCAGAGAACAATAGATGTTGATAGTTAAGACAGGAAGGTTTACACATTCCCAGCTAAGATCGTTTTTTTTTCTAATTCATTACATAAACGAAAGTAAATTAATTAAAATTTTAGTTAATAAAAGAGCGGGATGTTCGTTACTAAATTCCAGATCTCACATTAGTATGAAGCTAAAACTAGCAATATTTGCCAGATATAATTATTCACTTTTATTTATATAAACGATTTATTAATAAGTATTTTTGATAAATATTATATTTTCATAATTTTCTTGACAGTGTGAAAGGACCAGAACTGATAAACATGTATATAGGACAAAGTGAAGAAAATGTTAGAAAAGGTGTGTAGAACTGTTACAGTTTATAAATATTTTACAATATTTCTTATTAATAATAATAATTAATAATGATTAAAAACTTTTTTGATGGCATTATTTGTTTATTCTATTTGTCTCTTTATGATCTGTTCAAATAACATATCTATTCATAAAAAATTGAAGAAACTTTATATATAACACCAGGAAATGATAAGTTTATAATGAATAAAAATACTGTAACGTAGTTGTTGTTCTAGTTTCTTGTTCCTTTTCTTTTACAGTTTCAGTTTTAAGCATATAATATTGCTTTTTTTTACAGACTTATCATACAGGAACTTAGGAAACAATATGGCTGAATTTAGATTTTCTTATAATTAATATCAATAAAATCTAAATTCAGCCATATTATCTCCCAAGTTCCTGTATGATAAGTCTGTAAAAAAAGTGCTATTATATGCTTGAAACTGAAATACTATAACATTTAATTTTATTAATTATAGATCTAATACAGAAATAAATAATAATAGAATTAGAATAGAATAGAAATAAACATACAGAATAATAGAATATAACAAAGATTTCAGTCATATGTTGCATATTGTGTGCCTAAAAATTAGAAATCTGAATTAATTATACAGGTAACCCCTGTATAACATGGGAGTTACGTTCCAAAAATTGTTGTGTTATACGAAACAAAGAACTAGTGCAAAAAGGGGGTTAGGCTCAAAAAATTAAAAAACATGCTGTTAAATCCTTATTTAAATCAGATTTATTATTCATTTTTTTCACAGGTAAAATACTTATTTATTATTTAAGTAAATATTTTACCAGAGGATTATTCATCCTATATGATGATCTCAGCATTAGCATCATCAACTGGTAACAGTTTTTGGGTGTGTTCGTTAATATCGGTCACTCTGCAACAGGAGTGCGCTGCTGTTTGTAGACATTTAGGAATGATGGTGAAAGAAAGATGGCAGCATCCACACTGTCAATAGTATTGTGATAGAGAAATCTATAATTCTAAAATGAGCTTTTAGAGGCAAAAGAAGGGTCTCAATTGTAAAATTTAATCATTAAATGGATTATTTGTTGAAAGAGTATTCAAAGTAGCCACGAAAACAATTAGAATGCTCGCACGAAGTTACGCAGAAGTATAAAAGAACGCACCCTTTATTACATTTCATGTTATACAGGGATGTTCCCAATTCTCGAACCGTGTTAGAGTGAATCTGTGCTATAGAAGTGTCGTGTTATATGGGGGTTACCTGTACTGCATCAAGTTATTCTTAATACTAGTAATAATGCAGTATTTAAGAAAAAACATTATTTATAAAATGAAATATAATTTCTCTTGAAAACTATTAATATAGAATAGCATTAAAACAAATCACTTAATTTATCCAGTTTGTTTTCCATTAGAAGCTCTAAGAAACCACCATTTCACTTTTTCCAGCAAATTTTTTTTATTACAACACAAACGTTTTCAGCCTTCTTTAGCAGCCTGCCTCAGATTGTCAAAAAAATACAAAAATACCAGAAGATAAAACTGAGCATTCCAAATTGTAACATTCTACAGCTTCAAATGACATTTTAACTTAGAACATTCTATTTATAACTGATATTTTCTAAAAATTTTTAAATTGTAATTATGGCACAAAAAAATATCATAAAAAGTGTATATGTAAATTAAACAACAGTAAATATTTAACATTATAAGGAAATTGTATAAAATTAAATGAAATTGATATGAAACTGAATGTATTAAAGGTTAAGTCATTTGTGTTTGGTATTACAAATATATACTTATATTCAATTAGCTATTTTTTAGGGTAGCCATTGATGTTATCATCCATTTATAGAGGATTGTCAATTAAGTGTTGCCATGCTAGGAGTAATGTTTAATTTTCATTGTTGTTAATACATTTCCCTTTCTTGTTTACACAAAATATTTCAAGTTTTACTGGGGTTCTTAACCTTTTATTGTCTTAAACTCTTCTTATAAGTTTGGGTTCCTCCCATAGCATTGAAACTCCAGGCTCATTTGTATATTGGGCAAAGGCTATAACCAATCCTTTTTTAATTGGATCATATTGGTGTTTCTTTAATCTTTGAGCTAATACATTCATTGAGCCAATGTAAGTTCATCTCTGTTAAATCTATTGTTTGATATAGGGATTGAGTATACCCCAGGTGCTCGGTTAATGTTTATTTTGTCCTTGCCATTTGGTAAGGACATCATGTAAAAAAAGAACTTAATTTTTCCCAGACAGTGTTATATCAAAATTGTGTAAAAAAGAAAAGATTTGTGTTAAAATAAAATTGGGTGTCTATACTGTATATTTACAACNTTGCTGTTTGTTTCGTTATGCGCGTTCATAAATTTAAACAAGGCAATATAACAATGCTTATTTATAAAGTTACTGGTACTGCTCTTTTATATTTTTTACTTCATACTTGCAAATAGTACAGGGATATATCCATACAAAAATAAGTATATTGAGTGTAATATAGCCTAAATTCACATTAAATTTCAGCCTAAATTCGGCTGACAGTAATTGTGTCAGTTGATATATCCGTTTGGTTATCCCCATGATGTTATATGAACGTCTGCTGCAAGTAATTAACACTTTTCTATTTATAAATAAATATGAATATTACTAATAAGGTGACCAATTGTCCTATTTTTTAAGTTCTGTCCTCCCTTGAAAAGCATCCTCCTACATGTCCTCCTTTTCAATATTTGAAGACTAATCTGTAAATCTCCATATTCAATCAATGCCAAGCCGATCTATTGTATGTGATGTGTTTGTATTTAACGTGATGATTCATCAAGGCTTAGTACAGTGCGGCAAGATGTGATTATGAGACACATGTGCTCCACACAAAAGACTTTGAGAGAGAGCACCGCATGGAAGTGGCTTTGTTTACTTCTTACTGAAATATTACACAGCACATACACGAGTAGATATTATTATAGTGTATTATTGTTGCAATGAATAAAATGTTTCTTTTATTATGATATTTTTTCCTTCAATTTATTTGTGTCCTCCTTTTCATTGTAAAATAGTTGGTCACCTTATTACTAATAAAAAATTAATCAATAAAAAGCTTTTTAAATTCAAATTCTATTATTATTCTGCATATAAGTAATACATTTAACACTATCTCAACAAAATACTTGTGTCAGATTCTACATTAAAGAGCAACTATTCAAATTTTGAGAATTCATAACTATCTGATTTATTTGTTAATTTTTAACTGAAAATAACATTATTTTTATATTTGTCCAAAAATTCTTATTCAAGTCTAGTAATATTTGAGAAATATAAATTTGTAAATGGGAGTATGTCTATTAAATTGTGATAGAAATCCACTAATGATACAATCTAACTTTAGAAAATCCATTTTTTCCCCATAACTATTGTAATTTTTCATTTCTCGCTCTGATTTTGTCTATTATTTTATTACTAGGATCTGATTACTGGTTTTAATACTCAATGGCTAATATAATTCTCTCTCTCTTTTCCTACAATTTCTAAGTTGATATGAATTGATTAATTTGTTTTTTCCTAAATATACTTACCCTATCTGCTTTCATCGCCCTGTTTATATATCCACACAAACCATAAATATTCATAATCATCTGACAATATGATTTCTTCAGTGCTGCAACAGGGATGAACTCTCACAGTGCTTACTATGCATTTCCAACTGTATCCATCAAAGTATGAAAGAAACTGTTAGAAATTGAATATTCTGCAAGAAAGCTGTTAATTAAAATTTTTTTGCAAACATGATATGTAAATATTGTTTACAAATATTATACTAAATAATATTAATTGAAGAGGAATATAAATTGTTTTAGTAATATATTAATTACATCAACGTTTTACTTTGTACAGTAAAATAAAATTAGTCATTCACTATTTGATAGTTCTTGTAAATTTAAAATGAAAATTGTTTTACACTATATACAGGGTGTTTTTCAGGAAGCAGAAATATTTTTACAGCATGTTCTGGAGGTCTAGGGGATCCAAAAATATCTATAAACATAGTCCTTTGAATGCATGTTTCAGAACTAGAAGTTTAAAGTTCAGACTAGCTGCCCTTTAAGATGCTGCTTTGCAGTCTACTGCTAAGTGCTATGGAATAGCTTCAACATCTAGTGGCCGAAGCTATAGCAACCTAAGGGTAGTGAGATTGAGGCTACTTCTTCTAGCACTGAAACAATGCATTTGAAGGTCTATGTTTATAAGACAAAATTTCCAACTTAATAACACACACACACACACACAAAATACAGCAAAGCAAACACTTACTTGAAAAGCAAATGTTGTCATCCATTTTTAAAAGGACTTTATCAGGCTAAGTTCTAGTATGGAATTGCCTGATTTTCAAATGGTTCATAACTTCTGCATTGCATCCTCCAATCTGCAACGACAACATAGAAGTTATAAACTGTTTGAAAACCATCCAATTTTATATTAGAACTTCAGCCTAATGATGTCCTTATAAAAATGGACATTTTATCAATGGAAGTTTTATCAATATTAACCAATGAACTGTTGTCTTTTATAAGACATTTTGACCTGTATACTGTGTGTATGTAGCATTACTTCCTTTATGTTTAATTTTTTTGAGTTTTTTCCTTTCCTTTGTTGATTAAAAAATTAATTGTTAAACATCCAAATAGTAGATCAAGATGACTGTTATTGAATTTAGTTCTATCTGTAATTTATACACACCATTTGTGAATTTTTATTTCTATAAAACAAAACAATTAACTCAAAAATTTTTTGACATATTAAATGTATACTAATTAATTATTTTAATATAATATGTATATATGTTTTATTTTTAGTTTTTAATCAAGCCCGAGCTGCTACTCCCTGTGTAATTTTTTTTGATGAATTAGATTCTTTAGCACCAAACAGAGGTCAAAGTGGTGATTCTGGAGGTGTTATGGATAGGTAAATGTAATAATAATAATAATAATTAAAACTATCTTTGTCTCAAAATAAATAAGAATAAACTATAAAGAAAAATAATGGTTAAAGGTATTATCAATTATCATTACTTTATTGATTTTATGTATAGATACAAAACATCACTATGGAGGTAATGGATGGCCGCCATCGGTTAGACGAAATCTGGCCGTCTTTTTCCATCCATTTACATCTCCACAAAGACTGTCTTTATCAGAAGGCTGTAAACGTGAATTAGTTAAGTCCACGACCACGTTTTAAACTAAAACAACATTTATTTACAACAATCCTCGAGTACACTTGAAAGAGAGCTACACGTGCTCATGGCAGCGATCACCCGACAAAAAGAAGAAGCAACAATACCCAGAATTCTCTCTGTGGGAAAAACCCAGTTCCCGTTTTTCTATCTGGGATTCCTGGGAAACTCATAGAGGAGTGGCGCCATCTCACCAGTCCGTGATTTGTCGCCGCAACTATATAATAAAAGCTAAAGCTAGTTACATAGGAAATCCTCATTAGTTCGAAATTCAAGGAACAAAATAATTGTGACTTTGAATTATCCAAGATTTATATACAGTATGCCAAATGCCATGTAACTGATGTAATTTATTAAACAAATAAAATATAGCAGCATATAAAGAATGATATTTTCATTAATTAATAGTAATAATAATATAAATAAACTATAGGTAAACTGTACATGTCCAATGAGAACTTCACAGGTTGCCAGATAGGTTTATAAAAAATTAAGCAGAATGCCTTGAAATAGCTCAAATTATTTTTAAAGTGGCCAAAAATGTAGTAACTTGTCCAAATGTAATAGCCTAGAGCCCTACAAATATCTCAGTCTTGCAATCCTGAAATCCAGTTATATTTTTAGAGGTAAGAGAAAAAGTGTACTCCATGAGTAAAGTGACACCTGAAAATATGTTACTGTAAAAGCAAAGCCATATTGACCAGATTAGAGTTGTTGTTGGTCTATTGTTCTCTATACTGTGAAGGCACTTTGATCTAAATCAGTGTTTTTCAACCTTCTTGAATACGCGACCCCTTTACAAGTTAAAAAATTCTGGCAACCCCCACGGCCATATTAAAACTATGTCAGTGATTTTAAAAACTACCGGTACTTATTTAATTTTCTTTCTGTTGAGATTTAAATATCGATCAAAAAACTAATTGTACTGTGAAATAAACAGGCACAGCCTTCTCACTGAAATTGTAGTTTTTTTTATTATAGTGTAGAACCTGCAAACACTTGTCTTATTTTTTTACCCGCGATCCCCATGTATGGTTTGCGACTCACCTGGGGGTCGCGACCCACAGGTTGAAAAACACTGATCTAAATGAATGAGTTAACATACTCATATCAGAATTCAGACAGAGTTTTTACTTCAATTTTCATAGTAGCCATATTTCAAACTAACTGAATTCCTTAATGTGTAAATCTTTATATCCCCAGCTTGGATAAAAGTACAGTTACAAACTAATAAGATTTTGAAGTATCCAAAATTGAATTAATGAGGATTTCCTGTATATATAATATTAATAATATGGTCTAGCAGATTACTATCTACTGGTATCAACTAAGTAGGCACAGTTGATCAAATATTAAATGGTAAAAAAATTTTTAAAAATTAAACAAAAAATTTCAATGTTGGTTATATCTAATGAGATAAGTTCTAGAATTGATTGCCTAGCCTCTATTCACTAAAGAGAACCAAAGCAGGACAAAATTGACAGTCAGCTTCTAAATCAGTGATGTGCAATATTTTCTGAGTGAGTACTGCAAGGGAACTTTGTTTTTCCAGTGGGCTGCATGAGTTTTTTTTTCTTATGGAGTTATAGGCTTGTAGGGCATTATAGGGAGAGACTAAAGATAAAAAATATATATATATTGTATATACATGCCTGTTGTGGCTTTGGGAAATCACAATGACAGAAAAATATTTCTGTAGTGTGGAAAGAATTTTCACGTTTTTAAAATACACTTTTGATATATTTATACAAAGAAAAGTTATTTGATAGGTCCCTAATTGTAAATTAAAATTGGCAGATAACTGACATTATTGCAATTCACTTTCAGTTTTCAAATTGTTTGTTAATTAGATTAAAAGGTATGATTTGTTTATTACCAATATCCAGTTGAAAATTTAAAATTTACGAGCTCTCTGTAATTAATAGATTTAGATCTATTAATTTCGACCACAAAAATACTCAAATTATTTATATTAAAATTTTAATCAATAGTGCTAAAATGTGTAATGATATAGTCAAACAATTTAATTTAAAGAACAAGCATAACTGATAAAAACTATTTAGAAACATCTATTTAGCATTTTTCTTAAAATTTTAAAAAGCATTCAATTGAATGATCTTGATACAGAGGTAGAAAAAATAGTTGAACTGTCTGATAGCTCTTTTCTTAGTTTCTTACAGAAAGCCTCTTGGGAAGGCTTTCTATTGGAACCTTTAGACAGATCCCCATATGTTACATTGCCTCTATATTGAAATATTTTATCAATTCTATCTTTTCTCACGTGCATTTGATATATACTGTGATATCTGTGTCAGAATGATTTGTTTTGAAATGGAGCAATTTTTCATCATAGCCAAAGCACAGTGAGATCTTATTTAAAGGATGATTCTTATGATCCCTATCATAAGATTCATCAAAATACTATAAATAGTTGATATTTGTGGGCTGTTATTTACTTAAATTAACACATATTTATGCAGATATGACGAAATACCTATTATAAATGAATTATGTAAGGTATTTTGCATAACAATGTTTTTTTGTAGTTGGTTCACACTATATAGATACGATACAATTTTATTCATTGAAAACTAATTGGTTGAAATTCAGTTCATAGAAAAGTCAATTGGTTAAAAGATAGTTTATTGAATTGGTCAGTTTACAGAATAACAATTTTATTAAATCATTGCTTTCTATAGTGCCATTAAATACATGGAAAAACAACAATAATGTAAGATTTAAAATAAAGTATAAATAAAAAGTTATGTTTTTATTTATGTCCTTAAAAAATAGTGAAAACCCAGATGATCAAATAAAAGGAAATATAATAATGAATTAATTATGTCAAATTGTAAATGTTAAAGGTTAGGTTATTTTTAATTTTTTTTAACTAAAGATTGAAAAGCTCAAAATTATATCCTAGATGTAATAATATGTATATACAGTATAACACTGTGTATGTATGTATGCGTGTATATATATATGTGCAATATTATAAAAGAACTTAATATTTTATAGGAAATTCTTTGATATTCATCTTGTAATCTATATCGGCTATTTTCAAATTAACCTCTCTCTTTTTTTTTTTACCAAACAATATTGTTATAATTTCCATAAATATATTTCCATAAAATATATCTCTCTCATCAATACCTATTAAATGTAACCTATTTTCCCATTTCTTAATGGTTTACAGATGAAGTTGAAAAAAATAATAATGTTAAAGCTTATATATTTTTATTTAAACAATAATAGCCTAATTTAGAAAAAGTAAAGATTAATATTAAATGGGCAAATAAAAACAAACAAGAAATTTAAAAGAAATGCTATAAGGAGAGTTATGAACTATAAATAGTATATACATAAACCTATCAAACAACAAAGCAAGTGCATTAGTATGAAAACGGCCATGCCGATAGATGAGGCAGTGAGGCAACTGCCTGGAGTGCCAAATTAGAAGGGATACTAAAAAAAGGCATTATAATGTTTATAGAAATAACAGTATGTTGGCACTGTTCTTAGGTTCTCCTCAGGCACCAAAATAATTCAAAACTGACCTATTGATGAATATGGGGGTTTATAAATTAATTAAAAATTTTCTTGTAACACTTTGAAATCTAACAATGGAAATTCCATTATCCAAAATGGTCTTAAAAAAAGAAAAAAAATCTAGAATGTATAGCATTGTATGTACCACAGGAAGTGCCGGCCCTAGGCAAGTTTTAGGATGGAGTGTGATACTATTATGGCGCCCGGAGGTGGCACCCCACCCATGCACTCGACTCACACGCATCTCAACAGATAAGGCCATTCACATACAGGCCACACGCTTGCAATTAAAATATTGAAAAGTGAAAAAAATATTTTTTCCTTTAATATTCTTTACCACTGAGCCGCTCCCTAGGACTTAGCACCTGGAGCGGCTGCTCCGTTCGCCGTATGGTAGGGCCGGCTCTGACCACAGGTTATAATACACAAAGACTGAACTTCTCATGTAACTGGAAATTCTGCCACTTGTAATGCCACAAAACTAGGTCATGTAATGTTATGTATATACAATAAGTGGCAAAATCCTCCCAAAGAATGCAGGAGACTATTTTAAAGAACTGGAAAATGTTGCAAAGCACATTTAGTACAAAAACCTTTATATTTATTTGCATACTTATACGTTTATGTATATAATTATAATTATCTGAACAACATAATTATTTTATTAATAATAGTAACATACAAAGAACAAATGCATTGGGTGGATTTTGATGCAGACAAAAATCTATATCATATTTGTGNAAAACCTTTATATTTATTTGCATACTTATACGTTTATGTATATAATTATAATTATCTGAACAACATAATTATTTTATTAATAATAGTAACATACAAAGAACAAATGCATTGGGTGGATTTTGATGCAGACAAAAATCTATATCATATTTGTGGAAAAAGTACACTTCAATAATCAATATATCCTTTAAATCCTTTGTCCTTTAAAACCTTCCTAATGCAATCAGTCATAGACTTAATAATAATCCTACAGTCGTGCAATGTTATTTTGTTCCACTCATCCTGTACACGTTCTGATAATTGGTGGAAACTTTTGGGCACAGCTGCATAGTCAGATAAGTGACATTTAAGAAGGGACCTGATGTGTTCAATCAGGTTGAGATCAGGCAATTGAAGCAGCCACGCGAGCAAGCTAATATTTTGATCCAGAAGCCATAATATTGCTCTCCTGGATATGTTTTGGATCATTATCTTGCTGATAAATGAAAGAGCTCTTATCGATGTGGTAAAAATCAACAGATTGTAACAAATAATTGTCAAGTATCTCAGCTATCCATTCTATTAGATATAGAACATAGCATTTTAGGCCCAAATTAGGTAATACTACCCCAGACCATAAGACTACCATCACCAAATTTCAGTGTTGTTTGTACTTCTCAGTTATAAACTTCATTGATGTAGTCCATATTCTTTTTCACCCATTTGAACCAACTCTTAATTTTGGATGCATCTGACCATACAATCTTCTAAGCCTTTATAGTGTTTGGCAAGTAATTTTAGGCATTTATTATTAGTTTTAGTTTATTAATTTTTTATTATACTTTTTATGCACTAAACCATTTAGTAATAAGTGGTTACTTGACTAAATTACTGAGCATGTCTGAACGAGTCTATAGTCTCTCCAGCAGCTAGGGTTAGTAGAGTAGATTCTGCCTGCTCTTATTTTCAATTTTTTGTAATTACTAACTTCAGCAGGCCTTAATTCCTTTTTTGGACAAGTGAAATACGTAGAATGCTTTTTATTAATAAAAAGCAGTCTTAAAGATTTTATTTTATTTCTCTTAGTAAAACTATCATTAATTTATAGGGATAGGAATATTCGAAGACCTCTAGATAACAGGTACACTGAAAATTTTGGATACAGTGAGCCTCTGCGAGTCTTTTTAAAGGATATTGGGTTAACTATTGAGGCACTATAATGTCATTACTTGGCGTTCAATTCGACCAGAACTGTAATGATTTACATGCTGTCTGAGACATAATTATATGCGAAGTTTTGCTAGTAATCGGACAACTCTATTTGGGTGCGTAACTTTTTTTCAATGAGAGTATTTAGAAATTTCATTTAAGTTTGGATACACTGGAAAATTCGATCAACACATTACCTACAGAAGCATCAAGCTTTATACCAATCCAATAAATTCACAAAATGTAATATGAGTTTATATGGAAGAGTAATTTATAAGGCTTTCCTAGACCAATTCGTTACTCTTTCATATTTGATTAATTCTCATAACTCTTCATGGTGGAGTTGTAATAAAATTAAAAATAACTAAATGAAATATGCCCAAATGCCATAGTATAAAAAGCACAAAGGTCATAAATCATTTTTTTATATGAAGATGATTGACGCAAATTGATTTTTACTGGATTGAATATGTAATTTGGAAATTAACCATTAATGTAGATCTTAGAAAATTTTTAATACGGTTGAGAAAGGAAGCTGTAAAGGAACATGATAAAAATTTTTAAGAATTGGAATCTCTCTCAATTTTCAAATGATTTGATTCTATTTTAAAAAATGACAGCAATATGTTCTTTGTAAAAAATATATTGTTTCAGAACGCATCATATTAAAGGATACCAATGAAAATCAAGGGTATATGAGTCTACCCTTTCATAAAATAATCTAAATATTTGTTGTTGTGGATGTTTTACTTAAACGTAAGATTTTATTATAATTTTTTAATAGTCTATATGCTTAATTTTTATGTTCATTCATACTTAACAAAAACAATAATTGTTAGTAAACGATGGACTTGTTTCTCAATACAAAGTTTATCAGAGCACGTTATTAGAGATCATGCCGTCACTCGTAATTCTTTTTTGTTGTTTAGTCGAAATCAATACTTCGTCTTTATAACTAGAGCTGAAATGCTTGTTTTGGCTTTAGCTGCTCATAATTGGTTATTATTGAATTAAATCTGTAAACCAAATATGCTACTATGAGTTTTCTTTTGTTTGAAGTAAAATGTTTCCTACTGTGGATCTTTCTAATGTGAATTTTCATCAATGCAACTCACGTAATTAGCAAAACTAATACCTATACGTAGTATAAAGTTTGTTTTTGAAAAGAACTAGAATCATTACTTGCTTAGGTAAGGTTTTTACCAGTCCTTATGGGCTTTAAAACTGCAATAATTTGTTATATACGAGATAAATACAAACTTTAAAATGCGTTGGAAAGGTTTTTATTCTAGTTTTTATGTACAGATTACAAATACTTAATTACACTAACTTTATTTTCAGTTTTCAACGGTCCAGTATATTCTAATCATGCGTTTTGTCCCCATTAGATTAGACTATTTCTACATAGAACATTAAAAATCGCTACAAACGTCGCTCTTTAAATAATCTTCGTTTGAAGAACACAATTGATTCCATAATTGAAACATTTGGAAAATGTATTTGTGAAATTACAAAATCGTTTTATGTTTTATATCAGTAACTATGAATTCAATGCTGGATTTAAACAATGTTATGACTTCACACTGTATATCAAAATAAATTAATTTTCCATGTAATTTACAGATAGTTTTTATTTCGAATATAATCTAAATTATTGCAGTTTCAAAATGCACAAAGACTTCATAAACACATTTTCTTTAAATGGAAATAATTATTTTGCCAGATTTACGCTAGTTTTCATGAAAATGACCATTACATAATTATCTTGTGAAAACAATTTATTGGAACTTTAAAGTGTTATAAATTTAAAGAGAATGTAAAATATTTTACATAAATTTATGTAAGTATTATTAATTCGTCATAAAAGCAACAATATACATTTTCCATCTTTTTTAATAACAGAAAAAGATTCTTTATCCCTCATCATATCGATTAATTTAAGCCCATTGCTTGTCAGGCCCTTCTGTAATGAGCGTAACGTACCTATAATTGATTAAAGCTTTAAATCAATAATGCGTTTTAATTTTTTAAAATAAATATTAAGTTTTCTTTATATCATTAAAATAAATATATAGGCCTATATTTACCGCAATTGGTTGACTTAATACCTTAATACTTTTTAAAATGAGTGGTATTTTTTCAAATTATTGTGTAATTGTGTAGTTTACTCTATAATCTCCACACTACTTTATGGAAATTCATTATGAAAACAATTTTGATTGTTTTATTTATGGAAACGTTTTTCGCTTTTAAATATTCTAATAAAAAAATGTAATATATCAAGTGAAACCTTAACACAAAACCAGTCATTCTCTCGCTTCTATTATTATCTAATCAAATTTGTACTTATAGTCGGGCAACTTTAACATTTTTATATTTTTTCATAATGTTATGATATGAAAAAATATATTATTTGTATATCCTTCGGAATTGGCACAAAGTTGCTGTTAAGAACAAATCACACACACGAGCACGCCTTTTTTGATGGAAAAGGTAGGTTTATTTTTTATAATTTAGAAAGGACACGCATTTCGGGCTTTATGCCTCTCTTAAGTCTTTATTTTATTAAATATATCGGCAAAAAACTATGTAAGAAATTACAGAATGTATTAAATTATATTTAACATACGCGTATATGTCTGAATTTTTAATACTCTATCTAAATTTGAAATATTTAATAAAATTATTTTTTATTTTTAGAGTTGTCTCGCAGTTGTTGGCTGAACTCGATGGATTAAATAAATCTACAGATGTATTTGTTATCGGTGCTACGAACAGACCCGATTTATTAGATTCAGCCCTTTTAAGACCCGGAAGGTTAGCGGATTTTATTTTTTATTAGTCGAAAAATAAAATTTAATGTGTATTAATGTTGTAAATAATCTTTAAATGTAATAGATTCGATCGCCTGGTTTATGTGGGTATTCCTAACGATCACGATTCCAGAGTTAATATATTGAAGGCCCTAACTCGAAAGTAAGTGAATTTTTTTTATTTGAAACAAATAAGTTATATATCATGCTGAAGAGAGATTGTTTTCAGGATGTCATTGGGGAAAGAGATTAACTTGGAGCAGATTGCTTTGGATAGTCCACTGAATATGACAGGTGCCGATTTTTATGCCTTGTGTTCAAACGCCATGATGAATTCTATTAGGAGAAGTATACAAAATGTGGAAACAGGTCAGTAAAAAATTTATTGTTTGTACACAGTATGAATTAAAATTGTTGTTCAATTAATTCAATTAAAAAACTAAATTCAATTAATATTCCGACCTTTATGGTCGGAATATTAATTGAATTTAAGGTAAATTTTTAGACAGCTTTCTTGTTTTCATAAAAAAATCGTTTTTTTATTAAATAACTTATATAAATGTAACTTTAATAAAACAAATGACAAATAAAACTGTCTTTTTGGTATGTTGACATTATTAACTTTCGAACATCGAGAATGATTGTCCAATTGTGTATAAATCTCATTCAAATTTAAGTTACTTCGGGATATTTATCACATTTAGTCGCTGTTAATAGGATCTTTTATCGCCTACGCATTATATTGTGCCTATGTATTTTTTAGTTCAGATTTGACTTAATTATGAATATCTGATTTCCTGAGATTTATACTGTACCTCAATTAAATAATTAATGAAGAAATTTATTATTATATGAAATTATATCTAAAAGTTAATTGAAAAGGTATCAAATTGCAAACTACAAATGCTGTTTTTTGTTTGTTTCTCATTTGCGTTTATTAATCTGTTTTAAGGGAATGACTAGTACCCCATTGCTAACTTTATAAACTAATAAATGCCGTTTTATTATTATTTTAACCAGAACTTATTATCTTACAGGCGAATCGGAAAATAACATTTCTTTTGCTGTAGAGATAGAGGATTTCCGTGCTGCGTTAAAAATTTCTGTACCATCCGTCTCCGTGGATGAACTGCAACGATTTGAAAACATCAAACAGAACTTCAATTAATAAATTTTTAACAATTAATATAGAAAATCGTATATTTGAAAATTTACATCAGTATTTTGTAATTATAAATTTATAAAATAAATAAATATATTACTAATGACAATTTTCTTTTATAAAATCAATCTTATATTGAAATCGCTAAAGGTGATTGGTGCTTGTTTATTTCATCCAATTTTCCAAATTTAGAGAGAAATATGCGTGACAAGACTTACTACGAAAACTCTTCAAAGTTCTAAATTACATTTCTGATTAAATTCGGTATTTTAACTTTAAAATTTTGACATTCTGCCACGAATTGAAAGGGATGTCGACACTTTCAACTCGATATTTGAAATATTATATAGGCTAATACTTGATTAATGTAGACACGAGATCTAAAACCATTATAAATATTCAGTTTACATGAGTGAAACGTATTGCTTCTTGACATAGTCAAACAATGTTGCCTCAATAATCAGCCGTTATTCTCACATAAATGAAAGAAGAAAAGTAAAACATAGAGTTATGTTGACTTTTTAATAAATTCAATAACGATTCCGATGAATTAATTTTCTTTATTGATGTTTTTGTGTAAAAGAAGTATTAATTGAACTGTGATATTACGTATGATTCCTAATTAGAAATAAATTTAGTAATTCTATAAATCTTTTAATTGTGATATGAGTAATTCAAGGTGGGCGGAACCTCTTTTATCCAATAGCGTTTTCTCGTGAAGTGCATATAAGATGGCCGAGTAAAATTAGTTTATTGAGAAAGCGACAGATGGCGTATAAAGTGAGTTGTCTATTTATTATTATTATTTTTTTTACATATATATGTTTTAATTGACAAAATTTTTTAATGAGATCTTCGGGTAAACTTAACATGAATTTTCTTAAATTTATATTATATTATTACATTAAATTATAAGAAATTTTTAAACGAAACAGCTTTGCGACATGAAGACGTATTAATATAGAAAAATAAATGTTATTGAGATACTTTCTGTACTTTATTCAATTTTGCAAATTCAAAATAAGTAATATAATATAAGGAAATAAGTTTATCGAAACAATCCATTATTCCTGTTCTTAAATTATTTCTAAAACAATTTTACAACCCTGATAAATTGAAGAACAAACTTTTATGGATTAATATATTCAATTTTCTTTTCAATAAATAAGATGGCGCATTAAATATTATTATTTTTATAGGAACAGGTAATTTAGAAAACATTGATGAGTAATTTTTAATAAACAAAATTGTGGCTCAACTATAAAACTTGTATAAACAAAAAGTATATTTTGAGTATTATTATTTTTTACTATTTAATATTCGTGTTTATTTAAAGCTCTTCAGTTAAAATGCATTTAATTAAATTTATCTGTGACAATTAGATGGATAAAAATGATGATATAATAATAAGTATATTTAATATATATTTTGATAAATTTAGCGTAACGAATATTATAAAATAAAATAATATTTTCTTGCATTAGTTAAGTTTATTTTGATTTATTATATTATTTTTAAAAGAGTTCTTGTATATTTATTGTTTAAATTAAATATTCTTTATTTTAACACTATTTAATCTATTTTAAAAACTGTTTCTTAACCTACTTATTTAAAAAAATAAGCTAAACTAACTTGCTTATTTGTATTTTTCATATTTTTATTTTCATTAAAACTGCGTATGTTGTTATAACTTATATAAAATAAAAAATTTTATTAATAAAAATAAAAGACTTAATTGAAAAGTAATTTTTGTATTAAGTCGATTTAAAATATATCAGTTTTCGTATAAAGTATACCCAAAAAAACATTTCATCAGTTTCCACTAGATGGAAGCATTGCTACGATTGAATATTTATAATTTTAAATTAATTGATATATTGAACTACAGATGGCAGCAGTAATCTTTTCATAGACACAATAATTAATCTCGATCAAATTGTTATCCTTTTAATTTAAAAATTTTTAATTTTGTTAATATAGGTTTTTCAATAACAAAAAATTTTGAGATTATATATTTTTTATTATAAAAATGATATGAAATTAAACCTGCATATTTAATACTAGTTACAGTTAAAACAACCTTTAAGCTTTAACTTATGGATATTTTTCGATACGCTATTATTATTATTATTATTATTTTTACTTACTAAGTAGTCGGCCGGATGGTCAAGGTATTGGCATACCGCATTGGGGGACCCAGGATCAAATCCTGGTCATACGACTCTGATTTTCACAATTTAACGATTTGAAATCAAAATTTGACTTCGAGTTTGAGAAAATATGAAGGATTTTGCATTCGTATTATTTTAAAATGTAACCATGTGTGTGCAAATTGTAAAGATTCGTAAATTACGGCTTTTATAATTTACAATTTTATCATTGAACGTGTACTGAGTAATAGTTTGATGCTCTTGTCATAATTCGATCGAGATTAATTCCCAGATCCGGTTCATAGAACTTCACAAGAGAACGAGTATGTAAAATTTTAAAATACATTTATAGCGTATAAATTCTATATACAATCAATAAATGCTCTTAAATGAAATTCAGAATAGCCTATGAATACTTAGTAGGCTACTATTATAGTTTATTTTCTTATTGGATAAGAAAATAATGTTTATTGCCGTTTCCAAAGTTTATTTATCCATCCATCGTAATTGCAGGACACAGAAAAAAAATTCGAGAAACACCATGTAGTTTATGTAAACTGATGCGGTTGTTGAAATAATAATAATTTTTAATGCGCATTATACTCGGTAACAAGGGTATATTTAACAAGTCTTTGTCTCCAGAAACTATTACGAAAACACTTGATTTTTTCAAAGAGGAAATTCTTGCTTATTCGTATTTTCTTCAGAAAATATTTCAAAATATTTAAACAAAATTCTTCCAAAAATTTGCGAACCACCGAACTGGTAACTTTGTCGCGGGTTTGCGACTCAACAACGGGTTGGCTAAGTGGAGTTTTTTGGGTTTCTTCGTGTGTTTAATAACTAATAGAGGCCAGTTTCCCATAGAAAGTCCTCCCGGAAGGCAGCAGACCATTTTTCCTTTTTTTTTTATCAAACCAAATCAAAAATTTGCGTAATTATTGGCAAACTTTCTGTAAATAGATTCTGTAATTATTTTTTTAAAAACTTTCTGTAATATCTTTCATCGCTTAAAAAGTTTGCAACATTTGTTTTGAAAAATATTGAATAACTTTAAAATAGTTTAAAATTTATGGAATTTTCTTTTAGTCCAAAGATTTTAAATTCGATAAACTATATAACACAATCATTAAACACAGAACGTGTTCAAAAATGTAAAAAATATATTTTATAAAACCATTAAAAAAAAATGCTGTATAAATCATGTACAACACATTATATCACGGGAAGTAGTCTCCATAATTTATCGAATGTCAATTTAGTGAGATCTTATTGGAAGAGTTTCTTTTCTTTCATTCTCAAGTGCGACTGTCCTACATTCTTAGCTATGAGACAACAATAATACTTCACCAACGTCAACTACATTCTCATTAGAAACTGATGTGGGAGCTTAATTGGACCCAATCGAAAGAGAAACATCATTATGATGTTGTGCTAATCACTGCTGTGTTATTGAAGATCGAACCGATCGTGTCAAAGGTTATCGAACGTACTCTTTCAGTTCACATTTGTTTAAGTAATTTAATATCCGTTCTTTAGGTAAGAAATGTATGTCAGGAAACTTCCAGAAATATCTATAAATCTCTGTAGCAATGCTAGAACGTTTTATAAATTAAATAATATTTGTATAATAGGGCACGAATCCCTGAAAATTATTTATTTATATAAAGATTTATCGTTAGTTTCGTACTGCAAATGTAAGATGAATTTTGTTAAGATATGATCCTCAAAATTCTTTTTTAAAAGAATTTTAAAAATTGCGCAATCGTTTATTGCTCTACAAGTTTAATTAATAAACATCCTCTATTTAATATAGACTGTCATCTTAAATTGCAAGATTAATTTTGTTTAGTCTCGATAACTGTTTCTAAGCCAAATTTTGCAATAGATTTTTTTCTTAGAGCAAATTTAACATACAGTTTACAATTTAAAATCGGATAATATTTCTTACTTTAAAATATATTATCAAACGGATGCGATTTCAAAATGGGACAAATGCATTGAAAAGTTGTTTACCGATATTTTCGACAATTTTTCTTCCTGGAATAAAGTTGGCAATGAATCGAAGGCGTCCTGCAATTATCGGAAAGAATCATTGCCAACTCTATCGAAAAAGGAAGAAAGGCCAACGACCTATTCCATCAAAACACTACAAAAACTAGCCATAAAATAGCATTTTTTAAAAATAAAATTTTACATTTTAATAATTTCAAATAATAAAAATTACATATAAATCATCATCAGAGGTTAATTCTAAAAGTAAATCAATTACATTAATTACAGGAGGTAAAAAATTTAAAAAATGTTATAGAATAGATTAAAATATAATTACGTAGTAAAAATAGTAAATAACGTATATTAAAATGTGTTTATATAATTTTATTTATTTTTATTTTGTACTTTTAGATCTTCTTTAAGTTAAGCTTGTTGCTGATAATGATGGCTCGGATCGGTTATGCCGAAGGCCTGAGTATAGATTGGACAAAGATGAAAGTGGCAAGAAGATCTTTAGCAGATTGCATTTCGGGTGATATCGTCTGGGACTTGTGCGAGAGATGCGCAAAATTTACGAAAAGCGACGTAGCTTTTCCGTATTGTTGCGAAAACAAGAACAAGGCTAGAAATTGGTGTAAAACATTTCTGGAATTTCCTTTTGTCTAATTATTTCGATTATTGTCAAGAAATTACTGAATGTAATAGTATTTATTAATACTAATTTATCAAATAATATATCATGACTATGCTAAAAAGATTCGTTTTTCAGCTGCTTTATCTGGTTTTATGTACTGTACCATTGCTCAAAAACAATTGATAATCTGTAATTTAATTTTGTTTGAGAAAAATAATTTTTACTCATTAAAGTTATGGTAAAATGAAATCTATATCAATTGTCTTCCTTATATTAAACAATATATCAAGGGTGGGCAACCTTTTTTATAACATGGGCCAGAATAAATTTTACGTTTTTTCCGTGGGCCATAGTAGTTAATTGACACCTTGTGACCTGTAAATTTTTAGTCTGCAAATATCAAATAAATAAATAAATAAAAAGAAATTAATTACTACAGTCGACCCCCCTATAACACTGTTGATTATTCCGTTTTATATGAATTCCATGTTGTATGAGTCACTTAGATTTTACAAATGCCTGTGCCGGGCTGTGAACGGCTCACCTATTTGTAAAATCTAAGTGACTTTAAACACAATAAAAACATCACTATGTAGTTGGATACGACAGACATTACATTTTCTAATTGCATAGCTTTTGCACATAGATTTTCTTGATGGATGA